TTGAAATGTTAATTAAGGTGTCCACTTACATATTCGGTTAATAATTTTTATTTGTTTAAACAAAATTACTTTGTTACAATATAATATTCTAATACCAAAAAAAGTACTTACGTAGCGTGAAAATATCTTTTGTGATGTAACTCTTTCAAAAGTACATAAAAATGGTTACCAACAGGGGTGTACATGTAAATTTATTAAATACACCTTGTGCGCCACCTAGAAACCAAATCTAGAACCCGACACTCAAAATTTTTGCTCTGTTACAATCGTACCCTGTCACAATTGATCACACTCTCCCCTACTCTTCTATGATACTTCTTCTATGACTCTTCACACGCTAATGGGGAAAGTATTGCCATAAGTAGAGAGTTCTGATTTACGGAACCCGTTGTGAATTTCGATCGCCAGTAGTGCGCATTTCTACTCAAGGTCCGTCTTTTTCCATACAGTCAATTTAACTGCTGTTTTTGTTGCTACGGGCAGTTACTTTAATGATATTGCCTTACGTTATTTTACGCAAATTTAAAAAAAAAAACAGATTTATATGATTTTTCGTGTAATATATTTACCGGCATCATTTGTAAGTAGCAGTCAGGAGACCCTTAATCCATTAAAGAATACAAATGCATGAAATCAGTATATCCGGAATAATTTGTATTCATTAAATTGTCTTTTAGTAGCGGAATTTAAATTTTTCAAGTTTTACGCATTGATGTCAGCATGGCCCCATATCTACACCTTAATATTGATCCAAAATATTTAAACTGGACCACGTATTATATTTCCGGGTATTAGTGTACCCAACTAGAGAAAATAGTTTTAATCCTGTTAGGGGGCCCACAATGTGTCCCTATAGGTAATTATGTATGTAAATATATAATAGCTTTAAAATGAAGAAATTCGATGTCAATATTCTGCATTTCAACTTGGCCCTATATCTAACCTTAATATTGACCCATAATATATATATTAGACCACGAATTATATTACTGGGTAACAGTGTACCCTACCAAAAGAAATAATTATAGGCTTAATAGGGGCCCCACTATGTGTCTCTATAGGTTACTATATATTATATAGTGTTGGATAGCGTTAGAGTTAAAATCAAGTTTTAAATGAATTGAAAACCAAACATAGTCTTTAGAGAGCATTATAATCATGAGAAACGCTCCCTATCGAATCATCTACATAATTAATAATGAGTTCAGGTAAACATAAAAATGTTTTTTTTTTTTAAATGCAAACAAATTATTTCGGGGATTCATCCATTTTTGCGCAGTGATCAAATTATAATTTGTGTGCATGTTTGGAAATAATTTTTATCGGTATGTTTTATTGCTCGATGGAGGTGGAAAGAGGATATTTCAGCATCTTTCAATTAATAATTGTTTTCCTGTTTCTCTTTCCAGGATGATATGGTTTGTTTGCAATGCACCGCAACAGGAGAAAGAGTATGCCTGGCTGCAGAGGGATTTGGAAACCGGAACTGCTACCTTGAAAATATTGCCGACAAAGTATTTCAACATTCTCTCCCTCTATATCTTGTTCGAATAAAAATACTTTTTCAGCCACTCAACTTGAAATACATTTATTTTTAAAACGCTTAGTGGATGATGTTAATGAATTTTTTTTCAAATATTAATTCATTAATATAAATCATTAAGTATAGTTTTATATAGGAAAATAAAATTGTAATTATTTAACAAAAAGTAACTAAACTTGTTTTATCTTTGTTAACCAAAGCAGGAATTGACTGTAATTTTTCTTTCTTCATATCACTTGTTTTAAAGTAGATTACCCTCTCTCTCTGCGGATCCAAACATTGTCTCGAGCAGAATTCTTAACATGACGTTTCTCGTTAACCCTAAAGTGACGCTTGTTTCCCGTGGCGCATTTTTATAACTAAATAGTCGAGAAGACGAGCAGCTGGAATTGATAATCTATTTGATGAGAGAAGTGGTGGCTCAGGGAATAGAGCCTTCACCCTTCCTATGAGTTGAACCTGGTTCGAATCCCAGAGATGGAAGGTCCATATGAATTCCGCACTCAGCTCGCACCGACCACAGTGCTGACGCAAAATATCCGCAGTAACGGACGGATCATGAGTTAGAGCCCCTTTGCCGTCAGGCTAACCGTGAGCGGATTTAGAGGTTATTCCTCTTTGCGTAACGCAAATGCGGGTTAGTTCCACCAAAAATTCCTCCCTTCAGACATAGTCCTTTTCGAAGCTGATTTAGAGCTTCTTCACGTTCGAAGACAGGCCAGCTTTGCAAAATATTATAGCAAACTTTACAGCTGTGGCTTTCAAAAAAATACCTCAAAGTATCTTTGTAATTAGGAAAACCACCGGAGACTCAAGAAAAACAGCCCTTTTAAACTCAATAGCATTTTGAGACAAATGGCTTTGTCTCAAAATGCTATTGCTAATAATTTGGAACCACATTCTCTTCATTTCTGCATGACTCCAACAGAAGATTCTTCCAGGATTAATTTCGTTACATCGATAAAAACTTTACCGGAACATCTTAGACTCTTTGGAAATCATGAATATTATCCCTAGAAGTGACATTAAATTGTATACCGATAGCACTGACAATCTTGCGTGGCATTTATCTTGAAGCACCTCACAAAACCTTTACTCTTAGTCAACGTTACCCAGACTTCTATTCAGTTTATAGAAGTAAATTACCAGCAGTGGATACGGGACTTTAGAGAGAAAATAGACAATAGTGTACCTTAAAAGTAGAACAAAAAGAATTTTCTCAATACTACTCATATCATGCATGCCTCACTGTCGATTTTAGCGACACCTGTGCTAATTATCTAGGTTGTCACGGAAAAATTAAATTTTTTTTTAGAGATGATTAATCAATATTTCTTAACATATGTATATATTTTTTTAAATTTTGACACCTATCCAAAGACATGAAATTAATACCAAAGTTCTCTTGAGAATAAAAAAAATGTGAAAAATCATTAAAGTGTCCGCCAATTGATCCCCTCAAATGCAGTATTAAATATTAATTAGAAAGCAAAGGATAACATTGCCTATAACGGAAATAGACAATAGTGTACCTTACAATTAGGCCAAAGAGAATTTTCTCAATACTACTCATATCATGTATGCCTCACTATCGATTTTAGCGACACCTGTGCTTATTGTCTAGGTTGTCACGGAAAAATAAAAAAATTTTTTTAGAGATGATTAATCAATATTTCTTAACATATGTATATATTTTTTGAAATTTTGACACCTATCCAAAGACATGAAATTAATACCAAAGTTCTCTTGAGAATAAAAAAAATGTGAAAAATCATTAAAGTGTCCGCCAATTGATCCCCTCAAATGCAGTATTAAATATTAATTAGAAAGCAAAGGATAACATTGCCTATAACGGAAATAGACAATAGTGTACCTTACAATTAGGCCAAAGAGAATTTTCTCAATACTACTCATATCATGTATGCCTCACTATCGATTTTAGCGACACCTGTGCTTATTGTCTAGGTTGTCACGGAAAAATAAAAAAATTTTTTTAGAGATGATTAATCAATATTTCTTAACGTATGTATATATTTTTTGAAATTTTGACACCTATCCAAAGACATGAAATTAATACCAAAGTTCTCTTGTAAATAAAAAAAAAATTAAAAAATCATTAAATTGTCCGCCAAATGATCCCCTCAAATGCTGTATTAAATTTTAATTAGAAAGCAAAGGATAACATTCCACTCAATCCCTCCCACGAAAGAGCGCGTGCAGAATGGTGCAGACAACATCAGAATTGGACACAGCTTCAATGGGCTAATGTTCTCTTCACCGATGAGTCCAGAGTCTGTCTACAACCTGATTCTGGACGGTTATTGATATGGAGGGAGCCTGGAACCCGATACCATCCCAGCAACATTATCGAAAGGGACCATTATGCTGGTGGAGGACTCATGGTTTGGGCAGGGATCATGCAAGATCCTGCCTGTACCTTCCGCCTGTCCAGAGGTACAGGCAGGAGGTCCTAGAGCCCTATGTGCATCTTTTCAGGGGCGTTGTTGGCCCTAAGTTCATTTTTATAGACGACAATGCGCGACCACATAGGGCTCTTATGGTTGATGAGTATCTGGAAAGCCAGGATATTCAACGAATGGAATGGCCAACCAAATCCCCTGACCTGAATCCTACTGAACATGCTTGGGATGCTCTTGGGAGAGCTATTGCGATGCGCCAACCTCCTCCCAGAACCATTTTGGTGTTAAAAATTGCTCTGGTGGAAGATTGGGAGTCCACAAGTCCTCCTTAACTCCTTTATTAATAGCATGCATACTCGTTGTGCATGCTGTCTGTCTGTCAGGGGTGACCATACACCATACAAGAGACAACACACACTGTACAAGCCTCACTTTTATTGTCATCTTTTATCCTTAAGTTCAGACTACGTTGGATTTATCGGCCATAGGTCTTGCCAGTGAATGGCACTTTAATATTTGTTTTGTACACTTTATTATCATGGAATAAGCTATATCCATGCCAAATTTCATTTATTTATATTCAGTATTTTTTGAGATATTTGGGAAAATGTCTTCCATCTCTTAATTTTGTCCACCAGTGTATTTTATTCGTGAAAAGTGGTTTTTCTTTTCATTGTAGAACACTCCACCCGAAATGTCGTCTGCCGTTTTTGTCATTGAACAAGCCTTATCCGTCAGAGCTTTGCAGGAAATGGTCACAGCTATGCAGTCTGGATCTGTAAGTGCTCATTTCAAATGAAATATCGATCAGATTTATGACAGAATATGATGATGATATTTTTTTCTTCTTTCTTTTGAAAAGGGAAAGAGTACTCAATCAGGACACAGAACTCTTCTGTATGGTCACGCTGTGTTGTTGAGGCATGGAAACAGCAATATGGTAAGCCTCATTTTATGCTTCATCCTGACTCACATGCACTCCCTGGCCAAATTATGAGTCGCGTAAGAACAATAAAGCTGCATAGAGAGTATCACGTGATAATTAAGATTTTACATAGAATCTCAGAGTGCGTCTCATAAGTTGGCCAGTGACTATACTTTACTTGTTAACTAGTATATTTTAAGTGAATTGATAAGAGTTATTGTCTTATCTGCAGTACCTGGCTTGTCTCTCAACCAGCAGTTCAAATGACAAATTATCCTTTGATGTTGGCTTACAGGAACACAGTCAAGGTAAGATTCCTTTCTCTCGTTTAGTTAGAATAATTTTTAGGATGATTTTGCTCTTCAGTAAAGTGCCCGAGTCTAAGACATGCTGTTCTGAACACAAAACCACCCCATACGTATTTGGTAGAAACCTTTGCTTTTCTTTTATCATCATTTTTGATATAAGTCAGGATCTTAAAAAAAGAAGGCTTGACTGGTGTTTTGTTCATAAATATTTTGCCTCAAACAATTTAATGTTTGTAAAAATGCCCACTGAGGAATTTTTTTCGTCGCAGCCTATTAAACCCATATATGGCAACGTTACTTTTAAGAAGTAACGAGTAAAAGTACAAGTATTTTTAAGAAAAGTAACGGGTAAAAAGTTCTTATTTTAAAAAGTAACGAGTAAAAAGTACAAGTAAAAGTACAAGTACTGAACAAAAAAAGTAACGATTTAAAAGTACATTTCTAGGAAATCGAAAATTCAAAGTAACCTAAAATTTTATTGAATAATATTCTTATGTTCTTTAATGTTTTTGCAAAATTGTTGTTATTTATTTAATTATTTTTAATTTTGAAAGTTATGGACATTAATTTATTTTTAAATTCGGAAGAATATTATTATATAATTTTATAATATAATCGTATAATATAATTTTAAAATCAAATATAATTTTAATATCAAACTTTTTATGGATTTGCACGAAAAAGAAATTTTATCTATTGATTTTAATTTTTAGTTTATTATTTTTATTTATTTAAATTACCATTGATTTAAAATTGTTTTACTCTTTAGAAACGCGTTTTAAAAGCACAAACATAAACAAAGCAAACACGGGGTTTCAGATAGCTTTGTGATCTTTGAGCTAGTAAAAAATAATTGAATGTGCAGTATAAGTTGAAACAGAAGGTATTTAAACACGAAGTTAGCTGTGAATGCATATATATTGCACATTAATTTTATAAATTAAAAAAACATAAGCATTTTTTTTAATGTAATTTTTTCACTTTTTTTTTTTAGAAAGCTTACCGAGTTTTAGAAAAAAGTAACGATTTCATTCGATATTTCCGTTACAAATACTTGTACTTTTTCCCTGAAAAAGTAACGAAAGTACAAGTAAAAGTACTAAATTTAAAAAGTACCACTACAAAAATATAATTCCGTACTTTTTACTTGTACCGGCGGTACAAGTAACGAAAGTAAAAGTACTGCCATATATGATTAAACCTAAGTTAATGTTTATTATGACGATTACTAGTATTTATTATGTTTGTTATTTAGAGAGAGATTTTTTGCACGTTTTTTTAAAAAAAAATTTCGCCTGCATTCTATGGAAATGGGTCAAACCTCTAGATTATTTCACATATTTTAAGTTATATTAATAATAAAAATGCGTTTTGTTCACGGAAAAATTTCTTTACATTAGCGAGTTAAAATTCTTTTTTTAAATCTTGTAATTCTTGGGATTCCGCAAACTATAAAATGGCAATCCGAAGCTTTTGACGACCCTTCACTGTTTCATCGTGTTTGCACAAATTGTCATGGATCGTTCGAAGAATGTTTAAATGTGGTCATTCCGCACTCGTTTTCCTGATAAATAACTGCCAACTAAACTACGTCGCTTGCGGTCAGTTCAAAGTTATCTCGATAGGTAAACGTCTACCAGCAGTTCATAGAAAAATAAACAGCAATGTCTTAACAATACAAAATTAAAGTGAATAAGGAACGCGCGTGTATAAAATAAAAATGAACTGCCTTCCTTGGATTTAAGTCAGTTCTCTAGGCTAATACAGATCAATCCAGCACATTTATTTCCGTGTGAAATATTTTCATGATTCAGACATGTTTATGGTACGTGGAGGCCCTAGGGTTCACCTCACCATAAAGTGAACCCAGGTTCGAATCCCAGTGTTGTCTGGTCGATTCGAATTCTGCCACTATAATATACGCACCCACCTCAGTGACGTAAATGTATCCTCAGTGGTCGTAGATCGTAGGTTTGAATCAGGTTGTCGTAACCATGGGGGATTTTCATAGCTTTATTTCCCTGATAGCAAAATAAGGTTTGTTTTCACTCAGCAAAATCCTTTGAATGTAAACCTAAAAAGGTTTGTGATGCGGTTTGCGTGGAAACCTCTTAACCTTAAAACAAGATCTGTGACAATCTGCACATTGCCCTCATCCAAAACCTTGGAAAACAACCTTCTCTATAAAAACCTTAAATCGAGGTTGACTTGGGGTTTTCAAGCGTGAAAAAAAAAATCCTTTCATAAAGGTAGTCTGAAGGTGAAAATAATCTTAAATTTAGGTCATTATAAGGTTGCCTTAGTCTTGTATGCTCGGCTAAAATCCACCTTGTCACGAAATTATAACGGACAATGCCATTGGATCCTATCACTAGTGTAACGTCACCTGAAACGTCATGATGGACCTAAGTGACGAAACTTTTTGAAAAAGCTTTCAAAAATAATTTTTTAATCCCTTTGGGAGGAAAGGTTTGAAACTGCAATATTTGTGCTTTATTGTAAAAAGTGTTTAGTATAAACATTTTCGTGACAATCAAACAAAATTACCGAATGGGTCTTAGTTCGGATTTGATGGCTTCCACACACTTTTCAACTGTGTTCAAGAGTAACAGTAAACAGTGCGCATGCGTTGCCATGGCGACTGCTGTTTTTTTTCTTTTTATATTCACTAGCAGGCACTCTTAATGTATTTACATAACAATAATTTAAAGTATTATTACTATTAAAGTATAATGACTGGCTTGACGGTGATTTCAATATATGGGTCATTCTCACAAAAACAATCATTTTCATGTCCCCAGTATATTTTATGTTTGTTTTACAGCTTACGAAAAAAATAAAATTCAAGGAAAGTGTCCTTCAGAATGCAAGCTAACAAAAGAATAAAAGTAAAATTATCAATTTTTATTTTTTATTTATTTTAGGTAATTAAAATATACCAATATGTCATTCCCTCACTTGTCCCCACTGCTGATTTAAAAAAAGAAAAAAATTGTTTCTGAAATNGGTTAATCCGGCCCTGGTAACAGTAAACAGTGCGCATGCGTTGCCATGGCGACTGCTGTTTTTTTTTCTTTTTATATTCACTAGCAGGCATTCCTAATGTATTTACATAACAATAATTTAAAGTATTTTTACTATTAAAGTATAATGACTGGCTTGACGGTGATTTCAATATATACTGAAGAGCCAAAAAAACTGGTATACCTGCCTAATATCGTGTAGGATTCCCGCGAGCCTGCAGAAGTGCCGCAACACGACGTGGCATGGATTCGATCAATGTGCGAAGTAGTGCTGGAGATAATTGACACCATGAATCCTGCAGGGCTGTCCAAAAACCCCGTGGGAGTAAGAAGGGGTGGGGATATCTTCTGAACATCACGTTGCAAGGCATTCCAAATATCGCAGCGATGTCGTAGATTTGATGTGTTTACCAGATTTCAGATACTCACGGTATACTCGTGAAATGGTCGTACATGAAAATCCAAATTTCATTGCTATCTCGGAGATGCTATGTCCCCGTGCGCCGACTATCACACCACGTTCAAACTCACTTAAATCTGTATGACCTGGCATTGTAGCAGCAGTAACCGATGTAAGAACTGTGCTATAGACACTCGTTGTTTTATATACGCGTTGCCGATCGCAGCGATGTACTTTGATTGGCTCCATTTATTTGCATACCAGTTTTTTTGGCTCTTAAGTGTAAGTATGAATGATGAAGAAGGAAAAGTATGTCTTGAAACACGTACATAGACCAGGATGACAAACATCAATTGATGACAGTTTTTGCAACCCATGATTTGAAATGTTAATCCAGAAAGAAAAAGCATTTGACCAGTGATCTTAATGAGGCGAACACAGCTTTTTTGTCGATTTTTTATTATATTTATTTATTATATTTTTATTTTAATATATTATTATTATTTTTTTTAACAAAAATTTTTTCATTTATTTTTGTTTATTATTTATCATTAGTTTGATTATTTTTTTTTTTTGAAAAAAAACCTCCACTCGATTTTGTTGTCGAAAGACATTGAATAAAAGTGAATTGTTTTTAAGGGGAAGCGTGTTGGTTTACAATCCACCCGGGATCCAAACAAAGATCTGAAGGTGAAAAAGTTCGAGTGGGGGACGATCTCATTCTAGTGAGTGTAGCAACTGAAAGATATCTGGTGAGTTTCTTCTCTTTTATGACACACATTTTAGAACAGTGGGAGTCATAAAAAATAAATATAAATTTACATTTTTTTCTTAAAAATAGTTTTTAAAAAAATCATACTTAGAAACATTTCTGCCTTAAGTCTTTTTCCTATTTGATATTTTATATGGACTGCGGGACACTTGTTCGCTTTTGCTCACCATTGTTTCTCATTCATCATTGTTCCTATGATTGCCAAAATGTTCCTACATAAAATAATTGTAGATTCATATATGTTTGTGGTTATAAAATATTAACTTTAAAAGGGAAAAAAATATGAATGGGAAATAATCAATGGAGGAGCAGAGTTTTCTAGTTTAATTAAAATATATATTTAATTAAAAAAAATATGTATTTTTCGTATTTCTAAGTTTTTTCGAGTTAACATATTCGCTACTAGTGGGATAAGATCGGATGATTTTAAATTTTCTAAGAAAAAATAAAAAAGTAGAAAAGTAGAACAGAATATAAAGAACAGAGCTTTTCTCGAATGATATATTGTAAATAACAAAACAACAAATATCCTGATTAAATCTGAACAGCCTTTCGACTACCTAATTTCGAAATTATTTGTTGCTTGAATGGAGTTAATGGAGGAGATTTCGCAAATTTACGTTACCTTCCGTACATTCCCGTACGTAAGTGATTGCGCATGCGCCACTTCTGCTCAAATGCACATGCGACTGTGAAAAAATATCAAACTTATATAAAAGAAAGTAAGAGAATCCGCAAAATTCCGCAGGTTAAAAACGCTATAGAATATCATTTAACTTTGACCATAAAATCAAAACAAACATTTACAATGGACGCAGACGATTTCTACAAAAGGACATACGACTCAAGATACTTTGCTCTGCTTAAAACTGCGGTTCTGTGAGCAGAACAGAGTGACAGATTTTGATGAATTTAGCGATAAAGAACATTGTTATTTTTTAGATTAGTGGACGAAGAGAGAAGAAATCTCCATGAGGTCCACCCATAACCATAACTTACAGTAATTTAAACTACACTAAGTTAGTAGTAGTATAGCACGGTTCAATTCCAAATTTCATTTGTACTTCAAATTCGCATTCCAAGTCCAGGTTTGAAGATCGGCTTAAACAGCATTTAACAGCTGTAAACAGTGTGCTCGTAGCGTTAATGAAGCCAACGCAACGTAAAGATATGCAGCATCTGAAATGAACGCGATCATGCGCAGTTGTTTCAAACCATTCATACGGAAGGTAACGTTAAAGTGCGAAATCTCTCTAATGTCATCTAATGTCACCTAATGAACATGTGGGTGTTTAGCACACAGCTCGAGAAGGAACGGAAACGATAGTGAATGCCAGCTTTCACCTTACTCACTGGTCTGTTGCCCCATTTGGTACTGGAGCCAGCCGTGTCAAATCCGTAGGTAGGTTTCTCTCATTTTATCTCTCATTATACCCTTGTTAGACAAAAAATGGCCTGTGAATCCATTATTGGACACGCCTCAACAGTTTTTGTTTTCAACTATGATAAACTATTTGTGACACTTGCATCAGGTATTTTCAAGTGTTCACTAGTGTTCGGGTGCAATTTAGCCAGGACCTTATCCAGACTTCATTTCACGAGATCATACATGATATGATCATATATACAATTGTAGATCATACATTGTATGATCATATATACAATTGTGGATCATACATTGTATGATCATATATACAATTGTAGATCATACATTGTATGATCCTATATACAATTGTAGATCATACATTGTATGATCATATGTACAATTATAATTGTATAACTTTGTCTAGATATACGTCCCGTAGTAGATGAATCGTAAAGACGCAGTTCCCTGTAAAACACCGAAGTCTAGACATCATACATGATATGATGTCTAGATATGATGTCATGATATGATGACACGATATGATGTCATGATATGATGACACGAGATCATACATGATATGATCATATATACAATTGTAGATCATACATTGTATGATCCTATATACAATTGTAGATCATACATTGTATGATCATATGTACAATTATAATTGTATAACTTTGTCTAGATATACGTCCCGTAGTAGATGAATCGTAAAGACGCAGTTCCCTGTAAAACACCGAAGTCTAGACATCACTAGCTGCCGTCAGTAAGCGGATGGGTGACCACCCTGATCAGTGACCACTCTGACCGAGGGTGTGTTGGTATGGGTCCTCGTTAAACTGTTCTACCGTAAAGTGATCGACTTCGCACGCAGGTCGTCGGGAAACCAAAACAGGAGAGCTATCCCCTCTGCAGAAGATCAAAATGGCATGTCTTCGGATCATCCTCAGGAATGCTTCCCAGACCGGCGCCAATAGCTCATTGTGCAGCTCGAGTGTGATGTAAATAAAGTACCTACCTATCGTCCAGATATACAAAACAAAAACAATAACAAATAAGTTGGCATTTGAATACCTTTCATTGCAGGTTTAACAAAAAAAAATATCCTGAATAAATTAGTTTCATTTTGATCGATATTTATAATTTAAAAACTTTTTCTACCACTTCTTTTTTTATTACAAAAATCGAAAAGAATAAATAAGCATTAAATAAATTTTTTCAATGGAGATATCATTGGATAAGTGAATTTTATAATTGTGATCTACGATTTTTTTCGATTTGCTTTAAGTAATTTTTTTTTAAACAAATATAGCAAAATATGCAAAAAGTGGCAGTAACATTAAGGGGATCAAAGTTTTCATCTTTCTTCTTTTTCGAACCCTGTTTTCCAGATTATGGCTACCTTCCCATATTTCGAAAGTCGAGAATCAGAAATCATCGAAAATTAACGTATATAAAAATTAATTAACATATTTATGGTTAGGACCCATTGGATTGAGACTGACTCATTGGCTTCGAACCAATCGGATGAGTACTTGAAAATCTGATTATTAGTTTAAAAGTTATTCTTCAACAATATCGTACATTTTTTGCAAAATTTCTCAATGTTAATCGTTTCCCTCACCAATTTTTTTAAAGGAAAAAAAAATGCACAAAATCAACATATTTTTTTCTTTTATTAATAAATACAGGGAACTAAAATGAAACATAATGTACAAGTTTTGAGATGAAATTTTAATTTTATGTTTAAAAAGATATTTCATTTACCATCCGTTGACTATCCCAAATGATCTCGGGTCAAATGAAAAAAGTTAAATATGAGTCTTTGTATGTGTTCACATCTTCATCGTCTGCATTACTTTCACTTTCGCTAGCGAACGCCATTTTTTTTTTTACTCTTTTTGAAGTTATACTTCTTATGCAACTTCCAACAAGGTTGCGTTAAACGTTTAACGCTGCATTTTTATTGGCCGGGAAATCACGTGGTAGGATCCAGTTTTCCCTCATTCATTTCCATATTGTTTTGGTTCTCACTAGCATAAAAATAATAAAAGTCATAAAAGTATTGTTTTTCTATAAATATTTTTTTAGTTTGTTTTGATACACATATAATTTAATAGGGTAGTATTTTTTATTTTCAAATTTAGTGGATAACAATTGTAAAAAATGATTGAAAACAATCCCACGGACAATGCGACGGATTTAAGGTTATGTCAAGGTACGTATATCAATTGATTGTTTCTCTTCTGAAATTACATTATGACGCATTCACATACATTATTAATACAGATACATTATCGAGGGCGAGACGATGAGGCAACCACAAGCACTTCCACTGGTTCAAGAGGTCCACGAGGGAAAAATGCACAATATTAGTGTGATTACAGAGCATGGAAGCGAGCGTAGCAGGAAAAAGAGTCGTTGAATAGAACTAGTGATCCTTCTACGACTGCTGATTCTTCTACAATTAACGTCGCAGGTTGCGAAGTTTAACTTCTTCCGCGCGGAGGGACTCCACGCACTGTAAATTCATCCACCCTTGTATATACAATTGTACAAAAAACGTCTGCAGCCCCACGAACAGCAAAACTCTCGAACAAAACTTGGTAAACTTCCAATCACTGCAGATTACTATTAGTTTTTTGTTTTGCTTCTTGTCGAGTCAAAACGGGATGAAACAAGACGTATTCTGCTGTGTCCGAGTTTACTCGGGATTATAAATATTTGCAATATATACTACATACCCGAATTAACTCGGGATAAGCAGGGAATTTCCCAGTTTTTGTAGAGAGAAAAATGGAATGCGAGTTGGATTATTAATTTTTTGAGAGAAATTTAATTACAAATGGAAAGCTATCAAACGCAATATCACAGTGGCGTAAATACACACACAGAGGCGAGGGGAGAAAGCATGATCCAGAATTAATACACTTTAGGGGTGCACAACCTGCTAGCTTTTGATGTGGCAGCAACGAAATACAATAGTAATAATAAAATATTTTAATTTTTTTGAAGAAAAAAAAATGTAAACTATGAATTTCTCATTTTAGTTTTTGACGCGCCAAATCTAAATCAATGTAGTTTTTCCATCGCTTCTTTTTCGGCGATTACCGCTACCAATTTCCAAAGTTTTAAAAATTTCAATATTTTTAATACGGCAAAACTACGATGCGTTATTTTCGAACTTTCGCTCTCGATGCTCTTTATGTGTGTCTATTTCGTAGTGACTTTCCGATTTCATGTTTTCAAAAGCTATTGCAACCTGTTTCTTAAATACGATCTTATAACGAATCCTGGATTCTGCAAATAATAACCACTATTAACGAGTTCTTATTTGCGTCAATTTTATCGTAAATCCAAGGCTAAGGTTTGTTTTCGGCACTGCGCATGGTTTTGAAAATCCCAATATTTTTAATATGTTACTGCTAATGGCAGAAATGGGTGGTTGTTGACTTCCACAGGTAAATGTTAACAATCACATAGTCGTCTTAAATGTCCGAAATACATCCTGGGTCTAGTTAAGTGCCCGGTATACACCTTGTGTTTTTTTAAGGCTCAGTGCCCAGTATGCATTTAACTAGTACTCCGAACACTTATCTTTCTCCTAATTTATCCTCAGAAGATATTAAAATATCGAATAAATATAATATCAACGAATAAATCAATATCACTTCGGATATAACAAATATTTCGAACATTCACCAAAGCGACTACGTGATTGTTGACATTCTCTTGATTTCGATCATTCACTCTAACATTAATACGAGACTCGAATCGTGCATTTAAATGTGCGCTTTCTTTGCGCACTTCACAATTTTAATTTTGATACCAATCACTGCAACGCTTTTTACCGGGGTTTCGAAAATTCTGACATTTTTATCTCGGATTTTTGAATCAGACATTTTAATCATAACCTTTGACGTGCCTTATTTTATATGGCTTCCTTGCCAGTCCATGTTTTGTCTCTTTTTATTTAAAAAAAATTCGATCTCTTTAATACAATATCATAGGAGCCGCGATGGCTCAGGGGATAGAGTGTTCGCCCTCCACTGCGGCGAACCGGGTTCGAATCCCAGTCGATACGAATTCCGCATCAGGCTTGCACCGATCACAGTGCTGACGTGAAACATATTCAGTGGTAGACGGATCATGGGTTAGAGTCCCCTTGCCGTCAGGCTAACCTTGGGAGGTTCTCGTGGTCTTCCTCTCCATGTAACGCAAATGCGGGTAGGCTAAATAAAAAAGTTCTCCGCAAAGGCAAACTTCTCCCAATACTCAATCAAGGAGTTCCCTTGTCTTCTAGATTGGGTTCAAAATGACATGGCTGTGGAGTTGAACATTAGTAGTCGTAAACCCATAAAATTGGTTTCAACGATTATTATAAAATAAAAAATACAATATCATAGCAAAACCCAAAATTCGAATGCGGGTTTTTGAACTGTTTACTGTGAATGAAATTCATTTCCAATTTATTTGTGTCTTAAAAGAGTGTTTTAAAAACATTTATAAAAAAACATTTTAAAACATTCATAAAATCTCCTTAATCTGATAATTTAGCAAACATAAATGTCATAAAGTCAAGGTTAGAGCTAAAATGCGTTTTATTTAAAATCATTTTAGACCAATTCAATCTCTTTGATTAAAATATTTAATTCGCATTTATGTTGCTCTGTAGAATATTCATCCATTTTTTTTACTTTAATTTAAAGACATTTTAGTTAATTTATTTAAAAATGCACTTTTGTATTACGTTATGTGATAAAAAATAACCATCACTTTTTCCTAATATTCCTATTTTTTTTCTTCAATAAATCTATTTTTTGATAAAAGGGAAATATTTTTATTTCCTACATAAATTTTTCCTATTTTTATATAACTTTTTGGTATTCTCCGCCTTTGAATGAATTTTAACGTTTGAAAGAATTCAATTTTATTATGCAAATATGTTACTAAGTTGACTGATAAGAAAAAAAATAGCAATGATGTTTACTTTAAAATTACCATAATTAACATGTCTGAATACTTGGGCACGCAGCCCTTCAGTCAAAAAAGGTAAAGTATGTCTACTATATGAATTACAATAAAAATATTTTTATAAGACTTTTTCAAACTCACTCTACAAATAAAACCAACCCTTCACTAAACTTTTGATATAATTATTGTAAGATAGTGAGTTATTTTCTGATATCTTTAAGATAAATTTCATTTCAAAGTGGTAAATCGGTAAGTACCAATTTCGAACTTTTTCTAAATTCCGCCTTTCCATCGCAATTATTAATTCCTTAACAATTAATATCAAAATAATTTAAATTAGAATAGATCAATTAAAATAAAATGAATGATCTTCAATGTGATAGAATGTCTCTTCATTGTGTTCTTGTTTCATATAAGAATTTAAAAAAAATTATGAGTTAAATCTAAGATCGGGCGGATTTATAAATCTCGCAGGAAAGAGGGGCCGAGGGATCTCCCCCGGGGTGTCACGCCCCAGAGGCAGACCCCCTACTAGATGGCTCAACGACATCGAAAATGATTTGAAAACAATAAAGATTAGAAATTGGAAGGGTGTTGTCTTGAATGGGAGGCAGTGAAGTTGAGGCAGGCAACGCCTACAAAGGGCTGTTGCGCTGACAAAGAGGAAAAAGAAGGGGAGGGACGCAACTGAGTTAACGTACGCCACTGCAATATCATACAAAAAATAGATCAAAATAAAAGAAATAGTGCGTGGAGTCCCTCCGCGCGGAAGAAGGTTAACTTCGCAACCTGCGACGTTAATTGTAGAAGAATCAGCAGTCGTAGAAGGATCACTAGTTCTATTCAACGACTCTTTTTCCAGCTCCGCTCGCTTCCGTGCTCTGTAATCACAGTAATATTGTGCATTTTTCCCCCGTGGACCTCTTGAACCACTGCTTGTGGTTGCATCATCGTCTCGCCCTGGAAAATGTATTTGTATTAATAATGTATGTGAATGCGTCATAATGTAATTTCAGAAGAGAAACAATCAATTGATATTCACAAGAGACGTACCTTGACATAACCTTAAATCCGTCGCATTGTCCGTGGGATTGTTTTCACTCATTTTTTACAATTGTTATCCACTGAATTTGAAACTAAAAAAATACTACCCTATTAAATTGTATGTGTATCAAAACAAACTAAAAAAATATTTACAGAAAAACAATACTTTTATTATTTTTATGCTAGTGAGAACCAAAACAATATGGAAATGAATGAGGGAAAACTGGATCCTACCACGTGGTTTCCCGGCCAATAAAAATGTAGCGCTAAACGTTGAACGCAACCTTGTTGGAAGTCGCATAAGAAGTATAACTTCAGTAAAAGAAATTTTGAAACTTAGCGAGCTGTTGAAAGTGTCACCTGGGGGTGCTAGTTGCAGATGGATGACGTGTGAGAAGTTGAGCGATCTAAAACTTTTCATTTCTTCCGATAGGTTATGTGTTTGGAGGAGAAGTTCTCAGATTCTTCCATGGTGGTGACGAATGTTTGACTATTCCTCCGACGTGGGCAGATGCACCCGGGCAGAAGTAAGTTGGACTCACTCATTCAAAACATCTTTACCTGAAAGAACATTCTCGATTCTCACAAATAATCTTCCATATTGGAAGCTTCAGTTATCAGATGTATTACATATGAATCCCGATGTAGCATTAAAATTCTTGTCTTATATTATTGTAGTATGGTCGTCTATGAAGGTGGAGCTGTTCTGAGTCAAGCGAGATCACTTTGGCGGTTGGAATTGATTCGGACAAAGTAAGTCTCTCTTGTTCAGTAAACAATTCTGGTGGGTTGGACACCGTGTCCAAGAGGTCGAGGGTTAGATCCCCGCCCGTAAATGGTGACTGCTGCACGATCTGCAGAGTCACAAAGTCCTCCACATGCCCATAACAAATCATACTACTGAGGGGTCCAGGAGTTTTCTTGTCTTCTGGATGGGTTCAAAATGACGAGGCTGCAGAGTTAAACATGAGTCGCCGTAATCCCAAAATATAAAATAAAATAAAGTAAGAAGAAGGGCAGAGTCGTGGTGGCTCAGGGGATTGAGCATTCGCCTTCCATGAAGGAGAACCGAGTTCGAGTCCCAGAGATGGTTGCTCGAATTCCGCATCCGGCTCACACCGACCACAGTGCTGACGCAAAATATTTTCAGTGGCAGACAGATCCCTAGTCATCTGTCTAACCGTGGGAGGTTTTCGTGGCTTTCCTCTCCATGTAACGCAAATTCGGTTTAGTTCCATCGAAAATTCCTTCACGAAGGCAAATTTTTCCCAATATTTGATCCAGGAGTTCTCCCGTCTTCTGAATTGGGTTCAAAATGACAAGGCTGCGGAGTTGAACATTAGTAGCGTCGTAAACCCAAAAAATTTGGTCGGCAGTTCAACGACGAGTATGAAATGAAATAAAATAAGAAGGAGCCTGTAAAAACTTTAAATTGCTCAATACCATCTTTGCAGTGGTAGATAAGAGTAGTCAGTGAAGTATAAGCAATAAATATGTGCTAACTTCATATGTTATTTCTTAATGTAAATCTCACTTCTCAAAAAGGAAACTCTATAGAGTTCATTGATAAAATGAAGAATCTTTCCACTGTACATAATATTTTCAACTAACAAAACCAATAATGCATCACAAAATTTGTGTTTAATCATGTTCATAAAATTGATTTGTTACATCTGAAGTGTTTATTATATTAATGATAGTAAATGAATTAGATTGCTTCAAATTAATAGGCATTACTTTAAAAAGGAATATGTCTTGAACTGTCATAACCAACTGAAATAATTTGAATGTTCCGGAGATGGTTAAAGATTTCCCGTCTAATAAATAATAAGACAAATTGAAAGCACGTGTTTTTTCGGCTATTATCAAACACATTTTTAATCTTCAATTTTTATATTTCGTCGTTCCATTTAGGGTAATTTTGCCCTGTAAAATAATTAAAAATGGGTCTATGGAAGAAAATATTACATCTTTAAAAATAACCTTTACAATATATCATAGAGGCTCAGGGGAGAGAGCGTTCACTTTCCAATTAATGTGAACCAAGTTCGAATTCCAGCGATGGCCGGTTGATTCGAATTCCGCACCCGGCTCGCACCGACCACAGTGCTGAAGTAAGATATTTTCAGTGGCAGACCGATCCCTTGCCGTTTGTCCAACCGTGGGAGGTTTTCGTGGTTTTCCTCTCAACGTAACGCGAATGCGGGTTAGTTCCATCATTGATTCAAATATTAGCATATTGAGAAGATTTACCACAGAAGGAAAAACTTCTTTAAGTTATATATTTTTATCTTAAGTTATATAAAATATTTTTAGTAAAGTAAATTATAGTAATACATATATATTTGTTTTCTTTTAATAGGTGGGCTGGAGGTTTCATAAATTGGGGTTACCCTTTACGAATCCGACACATCACAACTGGGAGGTATTTAGCCTACAACGATAACAAAGAAGTGTACCTCGTCAACAAAGATCAAGCAACTGTGGCAGCCACAGCATTCGGTCTGAGACACACCAAAGTATACACTCAAGTTTCTTATAAACTTTTTTTGTTCTTACAATAAGTATATTACATAATTTGCCGACATAGTGGTTGCTGTACTGGACTACGGGGTCAGTGGTTGTGGGTTCGAATCCCACCGTAAGCTTGGATGTCCTTTCCTTTATGTGAATGTAACCCGAAACGGGTTTTGTGGTTGTATGACTCCACCTCCATCTAGATGGCAACACATTTTTAAAATTTTTACTCCTTGAATCTTTTGTTGTTTTATTTTTCTAAAGTTTTCTTAGTTCCGCAGTGGACTGATCGTTAAGACACGGTTCCCAGCAGATCACCGAATTCAAGCATCACTGGCTACGGTCAGTGTGCGGGTGGGTGACCACTTGGATCAGTCTGCGTAGGGACCGAGGGTGTGCGGTATTGGTCCTCGTTAAACTGTTTACCGTAAAGTGCTCAACTTCGCGTGCAGGTCGTCGGGCTACCGAAGCGGGGGTGCCATCCCCTCCGCAGAGGATCAAAATTGTGATGGCATGTCTTCGAATCATCCTCCGGGATGTTTCCCAGACCGTCGCCAATAGCCCATTGTGCAGCTCTAGTGCGACGTATATTAACAACAACAACAACTAAAGTTTTCTTAATTGGCAATTTATATTTTATTTATATATAGATTTGGCAATTTATATTTTATTTTGATGTTGTTATTCTAACTGTAACTTTATCTTTCATTATTTATTTTTCACATATGTGGGCGTCTCTTTACTCAGTGCACTTTTAAATTCCGATGGTTTGTCTTTAATTTTTCTTTGCATTTATATACATTTCAATTTTTAAAATTACTTTTTCTTATTTAGTTTTTCCATTATGGGGCCTCGGGGCTTTTGGTTTCACCACTGACAACAAAAAGGCTCCTGTATAATAGCAGGCAGAGTGTTTTTTGTCCTTAAAATTTTTGTCGCTTTCTGCTAGAATTGTATTTTTGACTTACTAAATTAAAATAATACAAATTTTGGTTTAGCTGCTTTAAGCACTTTTCTATTTTGATTTACTATTTTGATTTATTATTTTAAATGTTACTTACTTTTTTTGTCTTTTTCAGAATTTGTAAATTAGTTTCCTTCTTTGATTAGTGTAAACACATACTTAGTATTTAAAAACATTTTCTAAAAGAATGTAATTTGTTATATGCCAAATTTGGAGCACACCACAGAAGACTTTTGTTCTATTTCGATTCTTAAACAACCCTTTTTTTTATCGTGAATAATATTTATAGGTTGAAACCTCATTTAGAATGTTAAGGAGAAAAACTTGAATGTTGTTTACATTGAAGAAAAATAAATTTGATCAAATTAATAAAATATTCTAGATAGGAATATTTTCCGTTTAAATTTTCACTGATACATAAAGGAATTGAACGTATGGAATATCTACATTCTCGGGCCAAGTTATTAGACGCACTATAAGATTCTATGCAAAATCTTAATTATCAGGTGATATTTTACACTTTTACAGCTTTATTACTTTTATGTGACTGAAACCGGTTTGCACTTGCTTAATTTCGTGTATCAGTTGGTTAAATTAAACGATATATAATATAAATTAGATGATATATTATATAAATATAGAATATTTATTATATCAATCGTTATATTAGTATATTATCTATAATAATTAGATCCAATTATTAGATGTATTGTAATTTTTGAATAATTACAGGATTTGCACGAGTTTATAGGCAATGCTTTTATACTTTAACATACAAGTAATGGGTTTTTATTCAGGAGAATTTTCATTTGCTTCCTGTTTGTATTTATTTTTAACGTATTACATTACAATGTTAAACAGTTGATACAGGAGGGTAAGCAAATACAATCTAGTTTCATCCGAATAAAAACAATACAGCTGTAATAGTATCACCTGATAATTAACCTGATAATTACCTGATAATTATTTTACATAGTCTTGTAGTGCGTCTGATAATAAGTGACTGTAATTAGATATTTTGTTTTTGTTTTGTTGAAGCGTTATTAAATTAATTTTTTTTGTCCCTCCTTCCTCTAAAGGTTTCAATTGTCTTCTGAGGGATCGAGCTCTGCCCTATAAATGTTCTAAGAGTAATCTTTATGACGAGGTAGATGAAGTGAAAACCTTTTTAATTTTATCGATAAAAGTTTCAGTAGAAAAATAGACGATCCCTGCGGCAGAATAGCGGCGACATTGTCGCAGAACGTTACAGAGTTCATACAGAATGATTTCTACAGAAATTTACAACGTAATCTTCGTAAAATTTACGTAAAATCGTATTTAGATAATCACGTTTTGACGCTCTCAATTTATGCTGATAGTATCGTCAATCGATGTCATGTTTCGGTTGTACTTTATTGTACAGTTATTGATATTGATTTTGACGTGGTTTTTAAATATCCACATATATTTCAAGCAAAATTTAAATCGTGCATTTGAGTATTTACTTTTTAAGGCAATCATGCTATCCAACTTTTGGCAGTTATTGCTATTGATTTCTCTACAGTTTTTAAATCTGATATTTTGTATTCGATTTTATTTCTTACTTATTGCAGCAACCTAATCTCAAAACGAAACACGCATTTGAGGAGTGTGTGATTTCCTAGTCTATCTTTTTTTTTTTTTTTTGACAATTACTACTGACCGATTTAATGATTTTTAATTATGTTTTTTTATTCTGATGATTATTTATAGAATGCAAAGAAGAAAATAATTTGTGCTCCATTTTTTTATTCAAATTATTAGAATAAAAAAATGTTACATGTTAAATTTAAAAAAAATTATTTTGTTTTTGTAACCACCGCGCTTTTGTTACTTTAAATTGGTAACATTGTTACTATTATTAAAAGCATCTAGCGGAATTAGTGCTTTGTCGCAGATAGCTCGAAAATATTGTGTTAGACGATATCAAAACATAAAATGACACTTTTTATTTGGTAATTAGGACGACAAGAAGATAGTGTTGGACGAGAAGGAAGAAGAGGTTCTGGGTTCGCCTCTCATCAAGTATGGTGACACAACTGTATTCATTCAGCATCAAGAGACAGGCCTATGGCTCTCATACAAGGTATCATTTAAAATTCTATCTTGTATTGTCTGATGCAGATAGGCACAACTTATCCCCCAGATCAGTCGTGGCTCAGGGCCTTCCGATGAGGTGAAACAAGTTTGAATCCCAACGACGGCTGGTCGATACGAATTCCGCATCCTGCTTATACCGACCACAGTGCTGGCCTTAAAATATCCTCAGTGGTAGACGGATCATGAGTTAGAATCTCCTTGCCGTCACACTAACCGTGGAATGGTTTCGTGGTTTTCCTCCCCATGTATCGCAAATGCGGGTTAGTTCCATCAAAAAGTCCTCCACGAAGGCAAATTTCTCCCCACACTTGATCTAGAACAGGGGTTTCCAACTGGCGGCCCGGGGGTCGCATCCGGCCCGCGAGGTATTTTTTTGTGGCCCGCGAACTAAAATATATTAGGTGTCAATTTTTGTAAAAAATCTATATGGGTTTAAAATACTATACTCGTTAATAAAAACCTAATTTCATCGTTTCTATGAAATTGAACATACCAACGGTGCAAAGAAATTTATTTACATCAAAGAAAATATTTATTCAAATACAAAAATAATCATGTATGTTGCTAGTAGTATATGGGGGGGGCTAGAGGACACTTTTGCCCTTCCCTATATACTACTATTGATTTCCTATTTTTATATTAAAAAAAATTAAAATAGGCCTATATTTTACATTTTTTATGAAATATTAAAGAAAATCAGCATATTTAAAAATTCTTATTTTTATATTAATAATTTTTATTTTATTAAAACCTTATTGAAAATATCGTTTTTTATTTTACATGCTATCTCTCTTACAATCTTACGACTGGGAAAAATAAATCCCTGACTGTAATCTTATCCATTTATTTAAGAACATTTTACTACCTATAAATGGAAAGTATTGAAAAAGAGAGAAATAAAAAGTTGTTAGAGCAATTAAAAAATGATCTAAGATTAGTTAAACTACAATCAGAAATTAGGAAAAATAATGAAATAAAATTAGAAGAAGATATAGGAATACAAAAATCATTGGCCGATTTNAGCAGACAAACCTCAATTTTCTCATGGAATATTTTGTGTGCTACTATGCAAGTTTCAATACCAACCTTTTTAAAGTTTTATATCTTAACAATTAGATATCTGTTGCACATTAATTGTTTAATACATAGGTGCACATTGAAGTTATTGTAGCGTGAATTTTTATTATCTATTTAATATTTTTAAAAATATTATTAAAGCAATTAAATATTTTTAAAAATCTACTTCTTATTTTAATTTGTAACTTCGTAATTTTGTTTTATACAACTTGGTAAAAATCTGTCAGTAATATTTAATGCTCCTTCAAACATAGTTCCTTCCTACATAAAATTTTGATAAAGTTTCGACCCGCCATTTGATTTGTGTTTTTAATTGTGGCCCCTTGCCTCATGTAAGTTGGAAACCCCTGATCTAGAAGTTACCTTGTCTTTTGGATTGGGTTCAAAATGACAGGCTACAGAGTTGAACATGAGCAGCCGTAAACCCAAAAAATGAGGTCAGCTGTTGAACAATGGTTAAAAAGTATTAAAAACTTATCCCCCAGTAGCTTTGGGGACTCACGGGATAGAGCGCTCACCTCCCAATGAGGTGAACCGGGTTCGAATTCCAACGACGGCTGGTCGAAAAGAGTTTACCACAGTGTTGATGCGAAATATCGATTTAGACGGATCATGGAGTGGAATCCCATTGTCGTCGGGCTAACCATGAGAGGTTTAAGTGGTTTTCGTGTCGATGTAACACAAACGCGGGTTAGTTATGACAAAAAAATCTTTTACGAAGGCAAATTCCTTCCAATTTTTTAATTCAGTTCTCTGGATTGAGTTCAAAATAGGCAAGGGTTCAAGTTAGGGAAATTGAACATTGGTAGTCGTAAATTCAAAATTGGGCCTGCTGATCAACGATGGTTATAAAATAAAATAAAACCTATCACCCAAAGCCTTTCAATTCGGCCTCTAAAATGTTTTTAATTTTTATTTGGAAAAAAAAAGGATTTTTCTTTTACTGCCGTGTTTATTTTAACAGTAATTGATCTAATTGAAGCTTTCTAGTGAAATAGTTTCCGTTTTTTTTCTTCCAAATATATGCATATCAGAAGATCCAGACATGGGTTTCACCAAACTATTTTAAGAATTGTTGCAATAGAGTGTAACCATTGCTTATGCCAATTATGTTTGGGGGGAAATGTAATTGTTAAATAATTGGGTCCCGCAGTGGACTGATCGTTAAGACACGGTTCCCGACTGCGGTCAGTGTGCGGGTAGGTGACCACTTGGATCAGTCTGCGTAGAGACCGAGGGTGTGCGGTATGGGTCGTCGTTAAACGGTGCTACCGTAAAGTGCTCGACTTCGCGCGTAGGTCGTCGGGCAACAGAAGCGGGGGTGCCATTCCCTCCGCAGAGGATCAAAATTGTGATGGCACGTCTTCGGATCATCCTACGGGATGTTTCCCAGACCGTCGCCAATAGCCCATTGTGCAGCTCTAGTGCGACGTAAATTAACAACAACACAACACGTTAAATAATTGGATTAAGAAAAAGAACATTTTTAGAATCAGATTGATAGGTCAATAAAACATGCACGTGTAACATTTCAAAATATCTGTCATAAATCAACACGTTAGCAACTTTTACATGTTTTAAAAGTTGCTAATCGCAACAAATGCTAAGAGTTGCAAATTACGCAAATTTTATATGTTTTTAATGTAATATAAGAGATATTAGTTTATAAAATTTTTTTTTAAATTTTTTATATTTAGTTTTTTTTTTCTTTCTATTTTTCCAGACATATGAAACTAAGAAAAGAGGTGTTGGAAAAGTGGAAGAAAAACAAGTGAGTTATTTTTTCCTATGCCTTTGATACCAAATCATATTATTTCTCATATATGGATAGTGTTTTCAATATGAATGTAAACAACAACATTCTCGAGTTCTTGGCCTGCTCTACTTCCGGTTAGAAAGTATACAGCTGCTTATTACAATTTATTCTGCGAGGCGATATTTTCAAACAAATAATTTTGTTTTTAATAAAAAAAAAAGGAATTATATAATTTCTGAGCTCAAATTTGCTGTATTTCATAATATATTAATGATATTAAGCAATTCTGGTGACTTTTAAGGGAAAATAATTTGTTTTAGTTAATTAGAGATGTTTAGTTAAATGTTAAAAACGGTGACATAGTTTCTAAATTTAAAAAGCTTTTTTGGCTGCTCTGATTCGGCCTCTTTTTAAGTGCTTATGACTGCTTGTTCTCGATGCAAGCCGTGCACCATCATCAGGGCCGGATTAACCTATAGGCACACTAGGCACGTGCCTAGGGCCTACGAAATTCAGGTACCTACGAAAAAAATTTGTTGACAAAAATAATTTAGCTTGAAAAACAACAAGTGTATTTTGCACAAAATTATGAAGATACAAATAAAAATATAATATTTTTCGGTAATAAATTATTTTGCAGAATCTTATGATCTAATATATTACTTTTTTGCGATTTTTGGATTCAACGAAATCTTGTATTATGCTGTCGAATTCCAAACTACGCAAAATGTCGTATTCAATAGACATAAGTGCGAGCGATGCCAAACGATCTTGATTCATTGTTGAACGCAAATAATTTTTTATCAATTTTAATCTGGAGAAAGATCTTTCTCCTTCTGCATTTGATCCAAGAATCGACAAATATATTCTTAATGCAATGTGAACGTTAGGAAAAGTATTCACAAGTTTATCTTTAATTTGAGCCTTCAACATTTCTTGTGCAGATTTATGTTCATATAAATTTGAAAATAGTAAAAATTCATCTACAAAGTTTTTCTCTAAATCGGATGAGTAAATTTTCACCAAATTTTGCGCTTTTAGTTTAATCTCAGATTCTGACAAATTTTTGTGTAATTTCCTTGTAATTCGGGTTCGATAAAACATCGATTAATGACACTTTTTGGTCGATCCAGAAAACTGGGAAATTCAGACATCCGGGATAGCGATGGTCCCGAGCATCCCAGATAATTGGTTCTCTACTGTATAAATATTTCTTGTAATTAATCTCACTATCAATTTCACTGTTTTCTTTGCTGGTTTGTTGTTGTATTGTTGACGTGAAGTGTTTACATAGTTATCGATCGAACTAATCATAATGGTATTATCGATATCAACTGCAATATCGGCAGTATGTCGGTATTGCAGATAAAGTTCGATAAAAAAATTCGTAAATTGAAATCCATATTAATAAAAATGTTAAAAAAAATATGCAAGAAAATTTTAGCATATATTTTGAAAAGAGGGGAGGGCCCAAAAACGGCTATGCCTAGGGCCTACGAAAGGTATAATCCGACTCTGACCATCATACGTTTGTGTTAGCATATTGTTCAAGCAACGTTTATTTTGCAAATTATCATTTAGGTTTCAATTTCCAAGTTGGTATAGTGTTAGCTAGTGTTTTATTACGATTATTTCTTTCATTACTTTCTTGAAATGACAGGTCTTCAAATGACGATTATTTTTAAAATCAGGTAAGAAATGCACTCGAGAGAACACCCAAAACACCAATGATGATTGTGAGCCAAAGGGAACACGAAAAACAGTCATTCGGAAGTATAGGCACTCAAGAGTTTGCAGCGCCTGTAGAGAACACCATCCTTTCCTGCTCATAGTTATCGCTAACGATTTTTTCTTCGAAAATGTCCTCTGTATAAATAATTGAGAGTAATTCTGTATAAATAATGAATGCCACAATTCATATTTATATAAATTTTTTCTCTTAATTATTTTTACTTTTGTCTTGAAATATTAATGTTTCTTTTTAAAATTATTTTGAATAAAAAGTGTTCTATCTTAAAGGATCTCCTTATAATATACGTTAATGAATAATAACTATGATTCTGTACATTTTCAAGTAGCTTGGATTCATAGATTTGTCCTAGCTGAAAATACATATTGTAAGAATCTGAATTTCGAAAAAATCCTTATTTAACAAATGTAATGGCGTCTCTATGTAAATAATGATACAGGCTCACTTTTATTTATGCATGTCGGATGGAACAGTTATTGAAATTTTAATCAAATTTAACCAGATAGCGTTGGATCCGAATGAAATAGTATTGAAAACTATTCCGCACCTTGCTCCGAAAAATTGCAGCAAATTTTCCCTTGTAGTCCACAAAATATACTTCAAAATTCCATTTAATGTGATGTCTGGGAGGTTTTGATTCCAGTAAATGGCTTATTCAAAAAATAGAAAATCTACTCTGCTTAAGAAATGGATAATATTTTCTCAATTTTGAAATGGGGGATATTTCCGTATTCTAATGGGTCACGGTAACTACAATCGCAAAGGTACCAAATAAATTTTATATTTGCAATTAAGAAAAAACATGTAGATACTTGCCTGGAGGGGGCTAAGAGTTTTACCTTACGAGTTAGTCTTTTTTTGGTGATATTTTTTTCTAGTTTCTCGCGAGCCGTTGTCCGGAAGTTGCCGATTATTCTGCCACAGATTTGGATAGGGAAATCATGAGTATACAGTAGAGTTCATTAAAGATTGAGCAAAAAAGTTTTTTTATTGAATGTGAAATAGTCGAGCTACATAAATTGAAGTCATTGATTCATTGATGTTCGTCAAAATAAAATAAAGAACATCAATCGAGGAAAACATCAATTGGGCAGCATTAAGACATTGTGATGAAAAATAATGAATTTGAATAATATTATCTAAAGACATCTGAGGATGAACGATTTCTTAGGAAGCATTATTTAAGTTATAGGATGTTTTAATAAAATATTCGAGCATTTGATAATGGGATACCCACCAGTGACGTAGTGTGTGTACCTCAATCCTGATGGGTTGCTGAAACATTTGTTTACAATAGAAACGGTTCTTTCCATTCTATTTCAAGTAAGACAAGCCCGTCAAGTACCAATTTTCTTAAGTAACCTATATTCTTTAAAAAAGATTTCAATTCTTCCACTATGCATTTACACAAAGACATAACACGAAGAAAGATGTGAAGTCATGTAGAACTCCTTATGCGTCCAAGTTGTCAGGTACACAAGACAAAAATTATATCGCGATTACGAAAAATACCTAAACAAATACATAAATCTAAGTTAAGTATGAGAAAGAATTATATTTCAACTGATTCGATGTGCGATACTGTTCTGTATGTAATTAACCTAATGCTAATTAACATTGTAAGTTAGGTAGAGAAACGTAGCTCAACTTTAATACGCCATTTTGATTATAAAGATTAGCTGGAACTGACGTATAGGTCACATGGGCGGGTAACTGTTTTCTTCTTAGAGTACCCAATTAAAAAAGAAATTTTTTTGGTTTCTAAAAATGTTAGTTATAACCAGGTTGTTGTTTTTAGGCTATTATGTCAGAAGAAGGTAAAATGGATGATGGTCTGGAATTCAGCAGATCGCAGGAGGAAGAATCGCGCACCGCTCGAGTCATCAGAAAATGCAGCTTCCTTTTCAACAAGTTCATCGTGTAAGTTTTTATTCCTCCTTTTATTTCAACTGAGTTACAGTAAAAATCAAACTTGAAGCTAAAACAACCACGCACAAAAATTTAAAAAAAAATTGCTTATGTAGCTGTCCCTCTACCTTTTTAACATATACAGCTGAGTACGTTTTTAAACTGTATATGCGGCATGGTATATTTTCTGGAGCCCATTATAACAAATTCAGTAGTTACTGTTCTTTTATGCAGTTGAATATAAATATATTTTATTCAATTCCAAAAAAAAATTAAAAAAATTATTTTCTATGAGCGACCGCAACGCTTGAATACAGTGTGCTAGTGGGGAGGATTTTTTCAGGACTTTTTTATTAAGTTTTCATTTACTTCTTTTCGAATCATTGTTAGAGAAGGACGCCATTTTTTTCCAGCAGCATATAAGAAGCGAATTTTCCCTAAGGAAAAGGAAGAACTTCAAAAAACAACCAGGAGCATAGGCAAATCCTTCAGAAACAGCCCAACATTTGAAGAACAATTTCTCAATCATTTTTTCTTTTCTATTATCAATAAACTTGCAACCGGTAACTTCCGATTTCGTGATTGCATACTGTTACAGATGTAGGCATTACGGTAAAAGAAATTTTTTTGTCTTCAATTCATTATAAATTAAAGTTAAGTCAACATCGCTTACTTCATTCCAATAAGTAAATGTGAATTCAGAACGAGCAGAACTGTAATAGTTATAGAATATTCTTCTTCTTCATAGAATAGTATATATTTCTGTATCTATATAATTCGAAAAACAGCAATAAAGAATCATTCGAATTATTTGAAAAAGTATCATTTGTGTTGATTATTAATAAATTTTTATCGTTTTCTTCACCTTAATGTAATGGAGTAAATTAATAAATATATTTTATTAATTCCCTTCGTTTGAAAATAAATTTTTCAAACAAAGAAATTTTAATTTTGGAATTCTCCGGATTTATTAAGCAGGCAAGTGTTATGATTTTTACAATAAAAAATTTACTTGCAAATTTTTTTTTTTTTAATTTGATGATAGTTCTCTACAGAACTGTTGTAAGATTTCAATTCCGTAAGATTATTAACTCTTCATTTTAATAAACAGAGACAGAAATAAATTATAACACTTATGGAATTAAGCGCGCCTATCTTGGCGAGAGGGGGCCATTTTTGGGAGAGGAGATGTGGAGTTGGTTCGAAGAAGTTGAAATGAGAACACGAACTTTTGAACGTTCTCTCGCTCGAGATTTTTTATATATTATTTCATGTGTTGAATATGTGTGTGTATTTGTTTGTGTTGTGGAAACGAAGAGTTTGAATAAATAATAGTTACCAACCTGGACTATTTATTTGTGCCACACATTACACTGTTTTCTACTTCTGATTAAGAATAAAAAATAAAAACAATTTGAAAGTTTTTATTTAAATATGAGGAATTGTTAGACTAGTGTTTTTATCATAAGCATTTTTTATTTTACGTTTTTTAGTTTATAAGTAATGATTTTTTTAATGAAACTTTAAATTTTTTGATAAAAATTGTTGTCAAAAAACATTTTTTCGCAAAATTAAATCACATAACATTGTGTGTCTGTGTATACTTTTTGCATATTTTAATCTTTGAAGTTATATGATTCAGAAAAGTTTGGAATGAAGTTTAAATAGGCCTTTCATATGAGATCATTGAATTTAGATCAGATGCATTTTATTTCTGTTTATTTACAAAAAATTTTTCGACGCGTTTGGGATGCTCCTTCTCTGAAAAAAGAGATTACATTTTGTCTTCGCTTAAATAAGAAAGAATATCTAAAATGTTTCTTTTTTTTAAAAATTTATTAAGCCACAATAAAATTGGAACGTTACCATGCTTACACTGAAGAAATCTCTAGTGTTACTGATAATCGTGTTCTGTTTGCAGTCATTCGTATTTTTACCATTTCATTTTGACTTGTATCTAATTCTCATTGTTTTTACTTTAACTCGATTATAAATGGCAATAAAACAATATTAAATAAAATTAATATTTTGTATTTTATCTCTAATAAGTGTTGAGTTAGCGAAAATCAGACCATCATGCCATTTTAAGAAATTGTTTTCCTTCAAATAGAATAAATTTCAAAACTCAAGCAGCGATTGGTCGAAAACGGCAAAATATCAAAGATATATATATATAAATTTNTATGTATATGTATATATATATGTATATGTATATATATATATGTATATATATATATGTATATATATTTGGAAAATGGTTTTGTTGCTAATTGTTTACTTGCAATAAAGCCTACCGAATAAATCAACAATGGTAACATAATATTTTTTAACTGAGTAAAATGCACTTTGTAAGTGCATTAAAAAAGGAAATATCTTGTTTAGAGGTTTCTGTGAAGGGATTGCTGCATAAATGAATAATAAATAAATCATGCTATAAAAGTTTGAATCTAAATGACATTATAGTCTGACCAGAATGTGTTAAATGTTTGCAGTGGATTAGACTCCCTGCAGCCTGTTCAGGAGGTGACCACTCAGCAACAGTTTCAGGCTGCAGATTTAGAAGAAGTCATACATTGCCTGGAAGATCTCATCGCCTATTTCGAACAACCAGAGGACGATATAGGTAATATATTAAATGTTGGGTGCCCCCCCCCGATACACCCGGTTGCAATAAAATACACAAACAAATAATTATTTGTGTTTCATTTCAGAACATGAAGAGAAACAGAATAAATTAAAAGCCTTAAGAAATCGTCAAGATCTCTTCCAAGAGGAGGTAAAGTAAAATTGTCTTTGTTACACCATATATAATTATGATTAAGGGGAAAAAAATTAATATTTTGTTTTGCATATTTTTAGGGCATTCTTAACCTGATTCTTGAAACAATAGACAAAATCAATATGATATCCAGTGCTGGTTATCTGGTGGCATTAGCCGGTGAAGATTGCACGCATCTGTGGGATGCCATCTCCGGTTATCTGTATCAGCTTTTGGGTAAGTATTTTGATATTCAATCTATCTCAATCCGGTTATCCAACTTCCTCTCTTTCTTTTTTTGGTTCACTATATCCACAAAAAATAACACTATACGTGTGTAGCAAGACACGGAAGCGAACATTTCGTTCTCTATATCCGGGAGTTCACTATATAAACCATGTTCACTATGGCTGGGTTGGACTGTATTTACAAACAATATCGAAAATTGGATGAGTTGAAGGAAAATGTACCCATGTGGCTGAATTTGCGCGCACACTTCTCGTACGCAATTGTAGATTCATCATTTAACCTTCTTCGCATTTTCGAGAAAATCATGAAGTATAGTTTGGGTTTGTGCAGCATTAGGAATAAAGCGGCAGCAAAAAATAAGCATTGCCAAAAATCTTTTCAATTTAAATATTGTTTAAGTCCTTGGTATGTTTAAAATTCTTAACAAGGAGTGTACTATGAGGCATCGCAGAAAAGAAACTGAGTCTTGGCATAGAACAAAATTTAGAATCATTTACGGTTGAGCCTTCTTGAAACAACCTTTGAAATACCAGTTTAAGATGCAATTTTGTGTTATTTTTCAACCTTCGAGACAATTAAAATACCATCAAATGGAGGGACACAGAAATACACCAAACTCTAAATCTGATGATACTTGATTTATAAAATGCTGGAACGTATAGTAATCCAAAAGCCCTGGTAATTTAAGTGGCATAAATACATATTCGATTAAACCAAACGAAGTTGTTATTGCTGTCGTTGGTATATCTTTATGGTTTTACTGGGATTTGGTGGTACCGATGGAGAGAGAAAGATACAAGATGGGGAAGAAACTTCAAAATGTACAGTTTTCCGAGAAATCAAAACAGAGAATTTTGTAGTTCGGAGAGGTTGAATGGATGTTAATGAAGAAGTGAAGATAAACAAAATGAATATTGAGAGACTAATTCGATGCTAAGTTATGAGAATTCAAAATCCAACACTGTTCGGAGATATTCATCAGTTGATAACTCTTAACGGAAACACTCTCCCCCCCCCCAGGGAGACCAACACCCATGAAATTAAAAATGTGTTGTTGTATTTATTTGAGATGTGTAGGTTGGGGACACTAGAATCGTCTGTTTAATACCCCCCCCCCAAAAAAAAAATAGAAGAAACTTTTGCAATTGTATATATTTATATTTCATTGATTAGAATTCGGTTCAGTTTGTTCCAGGTAACCTCTCTGGTTGGATATGAAAGCCGAGTAGCAGACAGGTGCGCAGGAGCTTTGGTCCTTGAACCTAGTTTACCGTTGTTTCAACCGCAAACAAAATGTTTTTAACAAAATACACATTATTTTGTCACTGAAAGTAGCAAGGTCTGTGTAATAATACTTAAGAACAAAGTACATTCGGCATATAGCTTATTTTTATGTGCAATTTGTATTTTGTTAACATTGAATAAAATAAAAGATTAAATTTTCATTAACTTCATAATAAGTAGCTAATAATTCCTTAGTAAAATATTTCTCCCAGTTACTCTATGAATAATTACAAAATGTGTTTTTAAATAAAAGATGTGTTTTTTTTCTTGTAGCTGCGGTCATCAAAGGGAATCACACAAACTGTGCTCAGTTCGCACAGTCCAACAGGTTGGATTGGTTGTTCAGTAGGCTTGGCAGTCAACAAGCAGCCGAAGGAACAGGTATTTGTCAATTAATGAATGATAACACTTGTACAGTGAGTAAAATAAAAAAACGGACCACTCTTAATAACTTTTGATCTAATGATCGGATCGTAACGTTATAGAACTCAATCTTACCGATTCAAGAGAGTGAACCTCAACTATGCTAATTAATGAGTGCAGGCGATATTTTAAGCTACAAAAACAGACGCAAAAAACTTCCTTTTCTTGACGGATTCGGATTTCTGACACAAAAATAGGGTTCCAATATTTTAATCAGGAGAGCGCTTCAAGGTTTGGACCCCTTAATGTTAATTTTACTTTTTGCGTATTTCACTATATCTCGAGAATTTTTCATGCGAATCGAAAATCTTTGCCCCCAATTATAAATTTCCTTTATCAAAAGATTCCACGCAAAAAATAATTTTTAGAAAATATTGATTATTCTTTATTATTCTATTTAAGAATAGTCGGAAAAATTTCGAATTTCAATATATAGGGGAGAGTGGGGTCAATTGTAGCAGAGTACGATTGTAACAGAGCAAAAATTTCGAGTGTCGAGTTCTAGATTTGGTTCCTAGGTGGCGCACAAGGTGTATTTAATAAATCTACATGTACACCCCTGATGGCAACCATTTTTATGTACTTTTGAAAGAGTTACATCACAAAAGATATTTTCACGCCACGCAAGTACTTTTTTTGGTATTAGAATATTATATTGTAACAAAGTAATTTTGTTTAAACAAATAAAAATTAGTAACCGAATATGTAAGTGGACACCTTAATTAACATTTCAAAAAAAAAAAGATTAGTTTTGCTAATTAACTAGCATTGTTTTTAACAAATGAAGCTGAAATGGCGTCTTGGGGACAATTGTAACAATAAGTAAAGGGACGATTGTAAACATTATTTATAAATAATCTTATGTTTACAAACCATTACTTAACTCTTTAAGAACCACCAATTGTCTCCTATATCATTTATATTATGTTGCACGTGCATTATTTTATTTGTCACCTTTCACAGCATAAATTAAAATTTATAAGTTAAAGTTTAAGTTATAAGTTTAAAGTTAAAGTTAAAAGTTTAACCCTTTAGGTCTCTGCTCATTATTATTTTTACTCCTAAAATAGCCCTACTATTTTGATCAATAAAAAAATATATCACAACTATGATACTATGTATAATTAAATATGTTTTAGTTGAATTTATGAACTGTTACAATTGTCCCCGTACGTGGGGACAATTGTAACAACTGCACGACTGTCAAAAGTTGTTAATAACTAATATAATAACATTTAAAATAAGGTATTTATTTATTTTTCTAGTAGAGGATAGTCTACTTTACTCGTCTGTCAATTAATACTAATAATATATTGGATTTTTTGTTAGTTAAAAATAGTTAAGTAAAAAATGTTACAATTGACCCCACTCTCCCCTATACAGTATGATTAGTTCCAGAGAAATCGAATTTTAAGTGTGACTTTTTGAAATTCAATTAGTCAGGAACTATTCGACCGATGTTCTCAAATATTATATTTTGCTATGTAAAATTGCATTCCTTAAAATGTTGTAGAAAATTGCATATGTTTCAACCGTTCTTAAATAAAAAGGTGTGTGTTTGCAGGAATGTTGGACGTACTTCATTGTGTATTGATTGACAGTCCAGAAGCCCTAAACATGATGAAGGAAGATCACATCAAAGTTATTATATCTCTGCTTGAAAAACACGGAAGGGATCCAAAAGTGTGTTTTTTTTTTAATTGCATGATAACAGTTTATTACATCTATCTTATAAACATGCCATATTAAAACGAAATGCTTAAATGCATTCATTACTTTTTGAGTTATTATTGAGTTGACATTTTCAAAAGCCTTTAGCAGGGGAATTATTTTCTTTTTTTTGAAACCTCGTACCAAAGAATGTTTGCTTGCGTCTGAAAATGATGAACTTGACTTTCTTTGCTCGACTTTCTTCGAAGATAATTTTTTTGAAATTTCGTTTAAATCAAATTTCGTTTAAACTTAAAATCAGTTGGCGAATCATAGCGAGCAAATGATGATCTCTCTAGTTTGTTTAATAAAAAATACTTTTGGGATAATTTTTCTGCATGGTGAAATACACACATACGTGTTACACGATAATTGCTAATAATATAACAAATTAATTACAAAGAAAAATCGTATTATACTCTAAAACAAGTAGTACTTTTAAAAATGATAGTTTAATTATAATCTCCCAAACGTTAAGACATGAAATAAAATTTTGATTCATTAAAATATTTCGAGAATTTTTTTTTGAAATTGTATATTTTTTGGTTCCTTATCTGAAGTAGAACAATCCAATTTTTTTTTGCATCCGTCTTTCAATTGTACAAACATTATTGGACAGGTTTAACTCAAACCCTAATCAATTAAATGTATAGAAAATGAAGTGTCGTTTTTGATTTAGGTACTGGATGTGTTGTGTTCGTTGTGTGTCGGTAATGGAGTTGCCGTGCGTAGCAGTCAGAATAATATTTGTGATAATTTACTCCCTTCAAGAAGTTTGTTGCTGCAGACGAAACTTGTGGATCATGTGGCAAGGTTAGTTTTCTTTTTTTCCTTTCACAAATCACCTCTTTCATTTTTCACAATGCCGGATGGTCACTCCTGCCGGATAGTAGCTAGAAAATAATAAAATAAAATTTTAAAAAAGTCTGAAGGCATGTAAACGGGAGAAATTAAATGGCTCAAAAAAAACCCATCGTACGATTTTATTGCTTCAGATATTTCAGAAACAATTGAATAAAACAGTCCACTTTTTTTTGGAGAGGAGGAAAAATATTACATTTGATATTGCCTTCCAAATATGAATCTATCATCAAGCATATGAAAAGTTAGTTAAGTACAATGCCACGCATTGTTAACCTTAAATACAAGATGGCGATGCCTCCTATAGCCTAAATTACGTAAATAAAAACTAAAAAACCTTCTACCAAGCTTTCTTGTATCCTAAACCAAGTGTTTCTCAATCCAAGGACCTTTATAAACACGGTGGATTAAGATTATAAAAAAGGAAATCCAATGAAATTATGTTTTTGTTCTGAAACTTACTGTATTGATTCCTGATTTGTGACTTCCATTTTGCATTGCTCTTTAAACATCCAAATATTATAGTATTTTAATGAATGTCTCTCTCTCTCTCTTTATAACACAGCATGCATCCAAATATGTTCGTGGGTAAAGTTGAATTGTCAGCCATGTACAGAAGATGGTATTTCGAAGCGATGGTCGACCATTGTGAGATGAAGTCACACCTCGAACCTCACTTCAGGGTCGGATGGGCAAACACCAAGGGATACGTCCCCTATCCCGGGGGTGGACTGAAATGGGGTGGAAACGGTGTCGGAGACGACATGTACTCCTATGGGTTTGATGGAGCTTATATGTGGGCAGGTAATTCTTCTTTTTTACTCTAGATTATTATTAGAATGCTTCAGCAAACCATGATCCCAGCAGCGACATTGTCTCAGAATATTCTTGCAGAAAGATTTTTTTTATATCCGTCGTTGAACAGCAGACCCAATTCTTGGGTTGACGACTACTGATGTTCAACTCCGTAGCCTTGTCATTTTGAACCCACTCCAGAAGACAAGGGAACTTTTGGATGAGTACCCCCCAGAGATATTGATTGGTTATAGGAACATGGAGGACTTTGCGACTCGACAGATTTAACAGTCACCATTTACTGCACGGGGATTCTTTGGCCGGAGGGGATCGAACCCACGCACTCTCGGACATGGGCCCAGTGCCCTCCCCATCCCGGCCTCATATTTTTCTTTCGAAAAGTTAAAGTTATCTTTTCTACAGAAACTTACACGTAATATTTGAATTATGCATTTAAATAATCACGTTTTGACGCCTTCAATTTATGCCGATAGTATCGCAAATCGATGTCATGTTTCGATTGTATTTTCGGTAGTTATTGATACTGATTTTCGCATGGTCTTTTAATCTACCCATGTATTTCACAATGATATTTCAAACGACATGGAAAATTCGAAGAGTGCATTTGTTTACTTTATAAGACAAAAAATTCAATCGAAATTTTGGCAGTTATTGCTATTGATTTCTCCGTTACTTTTAAATCCCTTTTTTGTACGATATTATTTATTACAACAACGAAACGAAACGTGCGTTTGAGGAGTCACGTGATTTCTTTGTCGATCTTTTTTTCGGCAATTGCTACTGACCGATTTCATGTTTTTTAATTATTTTTCTTTATTGTGACGATCACTTACAAAACGAGAAGAAAGTCCCAATAAAATACGAGAATAAAAAATTATTACATGTTCAATTAAAAATAATTATATATATTTTTGTTAACACAACGCTTTTGCTATTTTAAATTAGTAACATTTGTGCTTGTTAGTATCAAAAGTATATTTGAAAAAGGTATTAGTGTTAAAGAGTTTTGTCGCAAATAGCTCTAAAAAATTCTGTAACAGGGCCTATGATAATGTTCGATTTAATAGTTTTGAAAATCATAATTTTCTGAAAGATTCAGACAATCAATTCCTACCAACATTTTGGAAAAATTTTTTAGCACATTATTCTCCAGTGAGTAAAAATAAATATCATTCTAAATAACTTTTGATCTGATAATTAAATTTTTGCTTTCTAAGATGCCATCTTTATTATTTCAAGAAGACAAATTGTTAAATAATATTAAACAAAAAATATTCTTTCTCGGCATTAAACGTAGTTTTTCTTTTTTTTTGGATACATTTGGGAGTTTTACTCTTTAAATATGAGCCGCTCTTTAGCTTTGAGGAGCCGCATTTAGTAAAATAGTGTCATAATTGGAAATTGTCGTGTCACTAAAGTTTAGAAACCTTTAATTTTATTTTTACTTTTTGTATTTTATGTCATATATTCAGAACTAATCAATCACATCAAATTATTTATGTACTCCAGCATAGAACTTATTCATCTAAAGAAAGTTTTATGCTCAAAATAAACGTAGTAACTATTTGTTATTTTTCATTACTTAATAAAATTTCTTTTATTAAACGTTTGTGAATCATTTTTTAATTTGTATGAAATCGGCTAAATGACTGTCAAAAAATAAAGTTTACCTACTTTTTTAACTTTTACAATTCAGAATTTTTGATTGATGTTTGATAATGAAAAATTATTAAATAAAGAAAGAATTATCTTTGAATAAGTTTAAGCTTTCTGAAATGAGTGATCAGAAAGTGTTTGATTATTGCATGTTTTTGCTGTGCAGGTGGGAGGTGCAATAAAGTTCGTGATTCTCCCTTGATTCAGAAAGGTGACGTCATTGGATGCGTCTTAGACTTAAACATTCCATTCATGTATTTCACTGTAAATGGCATTCGAGTGAAAGGATGCTTCAAGAACTTCAACACGGATGGAATGTTTTATCCGGTCATCAGTTTCTCAGCAAAACTCAGGTATGTCTTAAATGATTAGTCTTAATGTCCAACCTCCTAAATATTAACTAAAAAATACCAATTTTAACAAGGAAGAACCGAGCGAATGCAAACCCTTTAAAGTAATACTTCATAGGTGAAATAATGTTGGATCGCCATTTTCGATAAATGTCTCTGCTTCATCTATTTAATATTTCCTGTTAGTGATTTTTGAAAATGTGAAATTTTCTTTTATATGTCTTTTTAGACAATATTTTCGGAAAAATACTTAATTTCAAACTTATTATATTTAGCAATTTTTTTAAAATAATTAATAAAGTTAAAAATATTAAATTTAAAATTTACTTTTTTCTAAAGTATTGAATGATTTTTTTTTAAATGATGTGTCTAGAAAAAGAGGGTTAAAAAACATTGTAAATTGTATTGAAGCTTCTCAAATGCAAAAGCAACTTTTTTGCATTTTGAAGTGTTTTTATGGTATGCATTAATCTATTAATCTATATTGGAATTTGGCCATTTTTGTTTGCCTCTGAAATTCGCTATATTCCCCGGAATTTAACTCCTTAAACCTCCCGGGGTCATTCAAAAATGGTCGACTTTTCATCACAAGGTGTAATGTGCTTTGATTTGGCATTCCTAAAGAAGCAATTTTTTTTTAAAAAAAAAGATCTTATGAGACTAGTATAGCGCCACCTGTCTGTGATCTTTAGAACCTTTTTTCTTACCTATTCACTAAGATGAAGAACAGCTTTTTGAATGGTCGACTTTAAAATGAATTTTTATTTAATTTTATAGTTGCCGTTTCATATTTGGAGGTGACCACGGCAGACTGAGGTACGGTCCCCCAGAAGGTCACTCCCCGTTAGTGGAATCCCTCCAGCCTAAGCAGATCCTCAACGTCGAACCCTGTTTCCAGTTCGGAGAACTTCTCAAGGGAGTCATCTATGGACCCATGCTGGAATTGGATGACGTAGCTTTCGTTCCAGAACCCGTTGACACCACTGGGGTAAACATTCTTTTTTCTTGTTTGATTCCTTAAAATACACGAGCGATTAATTCTTACTTGGGCCGGATCACGCTATTGGTCGAAAATGACATCACTGTTTGGGGAAGGGATATACTGTGTATTGCATAGTATTTTGGCGAGAGATCTTGATTTGGCGACAGATTTTATATTTAGTTTTCAAATGTGCTCTATTTACACGTAGTATTAATGTTGAGTAATAAAGACAATATTCACATTTTGCACAGTTTTGTGTTAATTTTTTATTAGAATCTAAGTAAGTGAAATTAAGCTATACTGCTTTTACGTCATTAGCAACTGGGGCTGTTCTAGAAATGCAGGGAAGGGGGTGGAGGCTATCCCAGAATTTTGATCATTACTTTAAACTAAATTTACGTGTTGCTTGATTATGAAGTTTTTAAAATTATTCATAACACAACTAAATTGCGATGTATGAGTAAATTTGAGCTTATGTTTATTTCAATTTTTGTTACTTCATAACTGCAAAAGATAATTCTTATGGAAAAACAAACAAACGAAAAAAAAACGTATTTGTAATATTACTATAACATCTTATATTTGTAAAAACATTCATTATTTTTAGCTTTGATGAATTTAAATCAATTAAAACATAAATATTGTCTGAAATGCTGAAGTGGACATTTACCTATCACCCCACCCTAACGAGCAAGTGTGCATACGAAATTTGTCGCCAAACTTATACAAACACTAGCCACCATCTCCCTTCCCCCAAACAGTGATGTCATTTTCGACCAATAGCGTGATCCGGCCCAAGTGAGAATTAATCGCTCGTTAAAATACAGGATGTCATTTGAGCCTGTCACAGCACATACTTACTAAACACACCTCCTAGAACCTCCTCAACTCGGATACATTTATTAGTCCTACTTAACGAACATAAACTGCCGGGTGAAAGATAAGGTCACTACATTCGGGCGAATACGAAAGATGTCTTCTTTTACGTTTGGACTACTAAAGGATCAAATATCTTGTTTAGGGTAACCAGTGCTTTCTTTTTTCTTGGAGGTATTGGTCAAACACACTGAGTGTCAGCAATAGTGTGCGTTTGATTTTGTTACTTTAGAGTAAAAAATGTTATTGGATTGATTGTACCACTTTTAATTCTTGTTTCATTAAGTAAACAGCCCGCAAGGACCTACTTATTTTTAAAAAATATATATATAAATCTCTTAAACGTTACCCATAAATGATGTTTTGCCTTTCTCAATTATCAACGATTCGTTTAACTTTCCTTTGATTGATGATATTTTTTAATCATTCAAATTGCGTCTTTCATCTTTTACATTTATTCTAATTGTATACTTATGTTGGTTTGGTTGTCACGGTACACTAATGAGCTATTGGGGACGGCTATCTTTAGTGATGTTCCAAACTACTCTACCACAATGTAATCACCGCACCACTGGGGCAATTTTGAACACGAGATTGGAGTGGTGGTTTTTTTTTATATCCGTTGTTGAACAGCCGACCCAATTTTGGGTTTACGACTATTAGTGTTCAACTCCGTAGCCTTGTCATTTTGAACCAATTCAGAAGACAAGGAAACTACTGAACCAGTACCCTCGAGGTATTGATTTGTTATGGAAACATGGAGGACTTTGTGACTCGACAGATTTAACGTGCATCAGTCACACGGGGAGTCTTCGGCCGGCGGAGATCTCGCAGTGGACTGATCGCTAAGACGCGGTTCCCAGCAGATCACCGAAGTCGAGCATCACTGGCTGCGGTCAGTGTGCGGGTGGGTGACCACTTGGATCAGTCTGCGTAGGGACCGAGGGTGTGCGGTATTGGTCCTNTCGGCCGGCGGAGGTCCCGCAGTGGACTGATCGTTAAGACGTGGTTCCCAGCAGATCACCGAAGTCAGGCATCACTGGCTGCGGTCAGTGTGCGGGTGGTTGACCACTTGGATCAGTTTGCGTAGGGACCGAGAGTGTGCGGTATGGGTCCTCGTTAAACTGTGCTACCGTAAAGTGCTACACTTCGCGCGCAGGTCATCGGGCTACCGAAGCGGGGGTACCATCCCCTCCGCAGAGGATCAAAATTGTGATGGCATGTCTTCGGATCATCCTCCGGGATGTTTCCCAGACCGTCGCCAATAGCCCATTGTGCAGCTCTAGTGCGACGTAAATTAACAACAACAACATCGGCTGGCGGAGATCGAACCCACGAACTCGTGGACATGGACCCAGTACTTAGAAAGTAAACCAGGTGAACACACCGCTTCTAAAAGTATGTAGGGCGTCCCTGGCTGAGTGGTATCACCCGCCAAACGCTGTGCGAAGCGTGGAGAGCGGGTTCGAATCCCGCAGTTTCCCTGGCTGTATCTTCGTGCTCCCCTACTTATGTTAACTGTCCTTCTATTTCACAAAAGTTTATAAGCCTAAATTGAGCACACAAGCCTTCAAATGTATGTAATACCAATATACCAATAAAAGTATATTTAGTAAATAATAATTAATCCTGTTATATGTCAAATGAAGTATTATGGTTAAGGTAATTCAGAAGTTTCAATCTCCGATAAAAGATGAAAATTCAAAAATAACACCCAAGGTGAAATGCTTCTTTTTTAATTCAATCAAATCTCATGTCTTACAGGTGACTCTTCCGGGCTATGTGGAGAATGTCCGCGAAAAGCTCGCGGCAAACATACATGAAGTCTGGGCAATGAATAAGATTGGAGCTGGTTGGTCTTACGGAGATGTAAGTGAGATAACTTCTTAATTTTCAAAAACTTTAATGCAGAAATGTTGCCCATTGTAATCAGAATATAAAAAGAAAGGCTTCAAGAATTTTAATATCGTCCGTTCGCGCATCGTACATAAAATGAATGAAAATTTGAAAAAAATATCTCGTCTATTTTTAAAAAAAAATTTCATGTTGACTAAAATTTTCGAATGATTTTTACACTTATTGGATGGTTCGAATATCTTACATAAATTAAGTTTTAATCAAATAATTAAATTTTGGGATGACGCAACGTTTTATATGAAAAAAAGTTTATCAATTTTACGTAATTTTTACCCTTGCAAATCTTCGTTTGTTTTGTTGGAACAGAACGATTTTAAGACTCATGATGGGGTGGCATGTTTGAATTTCAATCAACTGCACCAACCATTTGGTATTTACATTACACTTACAAAGATTTCTAAAAGAGTCTGAAAATTATGACATTCTTTTTTTTATTTTTTTAATTCTATCTCCTACATATTTGAAATTTGATTTTTCGGAGGCATCAAGATTTTCGTGTTGCTCACATATACCCCATCATGATGATCCTGTACAGTATACTATCGATATCTCGAATCGCCGGTCAGGTGGCCGAGTGGTTAGCGTGCCTGACTGCGAAGTCAATGGCTGCGGGTTCGAATCCCGCTCTGGGCATGGATGTTTCTCTCTCTCTCTATCTCCGTTGTCTTCTGATGTGTGATAGTGGCCCACCCTATGAATGGGTATTTGTGGCAGTGTGGCGTGGGTAATGTTGCTCGCCTCCGTGACTTTGGTTCACAGGTGCCCACTGGCTAAGGATAAATGGGCAACACTTCTAAGGATAAATGGGCATCTTTCTAAGGCGAAGAACGAAAGTTCAGTGCCTGCCGTTATTAAAAAAATATATATATCTCGAGTCGAAGGGATGCTTTTTAAGATAGGGAGACAAAAATGTTACTCTGAAAAGTAGAGTCATGAAAGGTAAGAATAGCCACGAATAAATATGTTTGTAAAGACTCTAAGTTTAAATGCAACAATGATAATTTTATTTTTAAAAGTAAGACAAAAATAGTGATGCATTCAATAGAAAAGGATTGTGATTTTTCTGAAAAAAATTTATTTTCTATTTGTAAATATATTTGAGAAAACGAGCATGGAAATTCAAATTAACATTAGGTGAACTTAACAGGTTTTTCGAGACATAGAAGTTTATTTGAAGGCTCTGACACAGATTTTCAGTCAAGGCGTTTTTCTAAGCCTCGATTTATATAATTCATTCTAGTAAGATAGACAACACAAGAATCACTGATGTCAGAGCACCTCCCACTGAAGTGGTTCCAGCTGAGACTGGCTGCTCTGCTCCCACTGACAGCAGTGCTGACTCAAAATATCATCCGATCACGGGGTAGAATCCTCGAGCTGCCGGGCTAATTGATGGAGGTTTTCCCCTCCATGTAACGCAAGTCCCGCAGTGGACTGATCATTAGGACACGGTTCCCAGCAGATCACAGATGTCAAACATCACTGGCTACGGTCAGTGTGCGGGTGGGTGACAACTTGGATCAGCCTGCTTAGGGACCGAGTTTGTGCGGTATTGGTAATCGTTAAACTGTTCTACCGTAAAGTGCTCGATTTCGCGTGCAGGTCGTCGGGCTACCGAAGCGGGGATGCCATCCCCTCTGCAGAGGATCAAAATTGCGATGGCGTGTCTTCGGATCGTCCTCAGGGATGTTTCCCAGACAGTCACCAATAGCCCATTGCGCAGCTCTAGTGCGACGTAAATGAACAACAACCATGTAACGCAAATTCTGGTTAGTTCAATAGTTCAATCAAAAAATGTTTCACGAAGGCTAGTTTGTCCTTATGCTTAATCCAGAGCCGTGATGGCTCGGCGAAAGAGCCTCCCAATGAGGTGAGCCGGGTTCGAATCACAGCTATTGCTGGTCGATACGAATTCCGCATCCGACTCGCACCGATCACAGTCCTGACAAAAAATATCCTCAGTGGTAGACGGATCATGGGTTGGAGTTCCTTTGCCGTCAGATTCAACACGAGTCCTATTAGAGCATCTACCGAGAGACCCATATTGGAATGTCTATGTTTTGTAATGTTTGTCCTTAATGGCCTATATCGGCAAATATAAGGACGATATTGACTGAATAATGAATATGAATAGGGGTCTGTTTAGAAGAAATTTGGGTCCGTTAACGGACCCTTCACAAAATATTTTAACTTAAAAACGGACCCTTCACAAAATGATTTTTCATTTTATCGGACCCTTCACAAATTTGTTTACCTTCATTATTGTTTTGTTAATCGAATAAACCCTTCCCAGGGGAAAAAAGAAAGATGGATGTAAACGAATTTAGTTTTATCTTCGACAGACGCTTTTTCCACTATTCGTCCGAAATGAATATTCTGCGCTCAGCAGTATAGGCTAAATACCAAATATTTGTATGTTGCATCTCTAATTTAGAAGCAGCAATCGATGTTCATTTGTGAAAATTTAAATTCTTTTATTACAATTTTGCAGTGTTAAGCATAATCTTGTATCTATTCACAATTTAAAAACTCCTTGAGAAAAGTTTTTTGCAATAACAGGACCCTATTTGCACACATTCTTAAAAGCAGGACCCTGGTTGAAAAAATGTGACTTAACATTTATTTTATATTCATAAATTACGAGTCATTTTTTCGAAATTTTACAAAAACAAGACCTTTTACAAAATGTCTGGACAGACCCCTGATAAAATATCGGTTAAATCTGGCAATTCTATCTAGGGTCAATATCGGAAAAATAACTGTCCTTTGAACCCATATTGAGATAAGATTCATGAGTATTGGTCCAAAGATGGCCCAAGTTACTTTGTATGTATGTATATGTGTATGTATATGTATATGTGCATGTATATGTGCATGTATATGTGCATGTATATGTGCATGTATATGTGTATGTATATGTATATGTGTATATATATGTGTATGTATATGTGTATGTGTATGCATATGTGTATGTGTATGTATATGTATATACATAAATAAGGAATTAATGGCATAGCTAGATTTTTGTCAGGGAATGATAAGTTATTGAAAGAGAAAATTTGTTTAAGAAATATGTCTTTTTTAAATGTAATTACATGATGTTAAAAAGAGTGTCATTATTGTTGCAGGTGCGAGATGACGCCCGGAAGAAACATCCTTGTCTCACATCATTCGACAGATTACCCATGGCTGAAAAGAGATATGACACAACATTAGCTTTACAAACTTTAAAGTAAGATTCTAAAACCATTTATAACTTTTTCACTTCAGCTTTATTAAAGCAGATAATTATTTCAAGATCTTTGTTCATTTTCATAATATATTAACTGAAGAACGAAAAAAATATTTTGTCACTACATGAATGAGTCGTTTTAATTGGATTTTTTCCCCAAGGGGTTTTGCTTATAACTACGTAAATAAACTATTAAATTTGAAAATAGCGAAAGAAAAGAATCTCTTATGTAGTCACCCTACATTATTGATTTGTCTGATCTCAGCTCAATTGCTTTACTTTTTTTTTTTTGTTGAAAAGAAAGACATTTTTTGCTATCGGAAGTATTTTTTGCATCCTTTATCAGTACAAATTTTCAAGCATTGTTTCCTTTGGCCGTCATTGAACATTTAAATTACTTCTCAAAATAGTTTTTAAATATATTTCTGATAAGCCACTTTTTTTTGTCAAAAATTTTTCAAGAGCATATTTTGGACTTTACAATTCGAAATTTCATGAGTTATTTTAATTCATAGAAGAAATTAATTCTTATGAGGAATTGTGTTTGAATGACCTAGTTACATATTAATTGCGTGTAAGAATTTTTCGAGTAATGCTGGAGATGCGGGGATTTAAACTTTCGAATCCTTTCCTATCTAAACAATTGTGTCTAAACTGCGGCTGCCCCCTCCTCCATTTTGAGAGTTTAATAAACTAAACTCGACGAAGAAATGTATGTTTATTCAGAGAGAGTGCTTTCTTGTGTATAACTCGGATATATCATCTGCCTTCATTAATTAGCATATATAAGGCTCGGATCATTAAGATTGAACTCCAGTATGTGAAAATTCGATCATTGGATGAAAGGTTATTCAAGAGTTCGTTTCTTTTCTTCTTAATTTTGCTCACTTTTTTAACACTAAGATATGAAACTCGAAGCATTCTACTGAAATACTTCAATTTAGAATCCATTTCTGAGTTATAATTATACATATATTTTTGTATTTATTTCAGAACTATTATGTCTTTAGGATACCACATAACTGTTGACAAACCTCCAGCTAGAATTCGTAACATAAAACTTCCAAACCAGTAAGTAATGATTTTTCATGCTGAAATATGGTTTAATAAGAGACCTAATTTTAAAATTCAGAGTTACTTTTATTATCTGCATCACAGTATCTAAACTTTTAATGCGGAAATTAATCTAACAAAAATCAAAGTAACTCCTTCATTAGAGTAATGCTGTAAACTGTTCTTTACTATGAACAAAAGGTGTCACACAGAGTTGAAAATTATTTAGCATTTATTTATGTTTTTGCAGTCTTCAAGGGTTTGAAAACTTTGAAATGGCCAAATGTTTAAAATTGTAGTGTACGAGGGTTGCTATTTATATTTCTAGCCTAATAATGAAAAACAAATATGTAGGATCGAAATTGGTTTTATTGTTTTTCAAAATATTCTCCATGATGATCAATACACTTTTGCATGCGTTTGAACCAATTTTCAAAGCACTTTTTCCAGTCCGATTGAGGTAACTCCAAAACATGCGTTTTGAATGCATCAACCGCTTCTTCGGGGGTCGAAAATCGTTGTCCACGTAATTTATTTTTGATGTGTGGGAATAAGAAGAAGTCATTGGGTGCCAAATCAGGGCTGTACGGCGGATGACCCATCAGTTCGATCTTTCGCTCCGTCAGAAATGCCTTTGTTTGAGTCGATGTGTGAGAGCTCGCATTGTCATGATGAAGAATGATTCGCCTGTTCTTCTGCTTTTTTCGAATTTCTCCGATGACTTCTGGCAAACAAATGGTCGTGTACCATTCAGAATTGACCGTCCTGCGTTGCTCTAACGCCACTGTTGCCACATGACCGTTAATGCCGAAGAAACAGGCAATCATTTGTTTCGATGTGCTTCTTCCTCGAACAACTTTTGTTGGTTTTGCCTCGTCTTGGAAGACCCATACAGTTGATTGCTGTTTTGTTTCCGGCTCATATGCATAGATCCATGATTCGTCACCTGTGTAGATGTTATACACAGCCTTTGATGTACCTTGAACGTATTTTTCCAACATTTCCTTGCACCAATCGACACGAGCCTTTTTTTGAGCGTTTGTCAGATTATGCGGGATCCAACGCGAACAAATTTTTTTTACGCTCAAATGTTCATGCAATATTTTATTGATGCTAGTCATACTAATGTCCAAAGACGCCTCTATCTCACGGTATGTCACATGACGATCTTGCTTTATCAGTTCACGCACAGCATCGATCTTTTCTGGCACAACAACGGATTTTGGACGACCTGCACGGGATTCGTCCTGGATCGAACATCGACCACGATTAAATTCGTTATACCAATTTTTTACAGTGCTGTAGGATGGCGCTTTATCGCTGAATAAAGAATTAAGTTCATCGAAGCACTCTTGTCTTGACAATCCACGTCGAAAGTTATGAAAAATAATGGCACGAAAATGTTCACGATTCAATTCCATTTTTTGAAAGAGAAGAACTTTTTAATTTAGTGTCAACAACACAAATGAAGCTATAATGGTAAATCGTCTGCTGAATTTATGTTTAAAAATATCAAACTTTCGATTAAAATCGTCTGCGGTCGCCTAGCAACACTTACTGTTGCCAAGGCCAGAAATATAAACAGTAACCCTCGTATATACCACTACAAAATACAGTTCTAATTACAATCCCAGTATATAAGACATGTTAACTGGATTCTATGATGGGGTACCTTTTCTTAGATGAAAGTTGACATTGTAGATAACTACACACATTGACCCACACATCATTAGAAATTATTTTTACACATATTTAAGTTCTAAACTAAAATATGTGTATTTAATATATGTAATTCATTTATGTTCGGAAAGAGAAATGGAAAAGCAAAACGTGAAGAATTGAAACTGGATTACTTTATACGGGTCCATGAATTTTGTAATGGTGATTTTATTTATTTGAAAATATTCGCGATATCTAATATCCCCACAAAATATTTTCGAAAAGAGGTCAAAATACAAACTTGCTAGTGCCCAACCATGGCCAAACACTCAATCCCGTTTTTACAGACTCTTAGAACGGTATAGTAATGTAACGCAACTTATACGGTTTTCTTTATTTTTTAATTTTTATCAAAAATCTCAGAAAGCAAGCAATAACGTAAGATATGCATTATTTTTGCTTAATGTTTCTGTCTTCGCAAAATCGAATTCAAAAGCTTTCTTCATTTGCATCACACTTATGAAAGACATTTTGAAAAATTTAAATGTTTAATGCTTAATTAAATGTTAATGTTAAAAGTTTAATTAAAAACACAAAAAACATTTGACTTACTTTTTTTTTACATTTTCATTATAAATATTTTGTTAATTATGAAAATGATTTTGAAGCCTGTTAAAAAGCATTAACAACACGCTTATTGTATATCAAATAAAAATTTTAGTCACGCCGTATTTAACTGTTTTAAGGCGTAAGCCCTGTTGAAAAAATTATCAATGCAGTTATCCTCAAAGTTTCAAAATTTTCCCTTCAAAACGCCTCTTTATTTATATTTTTTTTAACTTTCATACACGTGATTCCGTTTAAGTTCGAAAGCCGTTAATATGCACTATACTTATCTGATATGTAGATTTATTAATTTTTTTAAAGTGCAAAATCAGGAGTTTTCCGCTAAAATGCACTTAGATGGTACCGTTATAGTTCAAAATTTTGTTTCTCTCATTCCATCACCTCATTTCTTGAATATATGACTGCCTTTAGATATTGAAAAATAAATAAATGACATCACTTTCATTGTTATAAAATTTTAAACCATTTAATTCTTGGTTTTTAAAACGGTTGATGTTTTCCGAGGTATTTGACCCCTTTCTATACTTTTCGGATACCCTACATGTTTTTATTACTTATAAAAAAAAATTCTTCAATTTTTAAAAAACCCATTAGGCCCTTCCTTCAGTCCAATGGATATAAGCCAGCTCCATTGGATCTTCATGCCATTACATTGAACAACAAGATGGAGGAACTGGTTGAACTTTTGGCTGAGAACACACACAATGTCTGGGCTAAAGAAAGAATACAGCAAGGGTGGACTTACGGACTCAGCGAAGTATACTCTCTCTTCTTCTTTAACACTACAACATATTCTGATAGTTTCGTTTAAATAAATCTATCATTCAATTTTTTTTTTCTCTTCAGAATAGTGCCTTAAAAAGGAGCCCTCACCTAGTGCCTTATAGAAATGTCGACGATGCCATCAAGAAAGCCAACAGGTATTTCATTATATGCATTACTTTGAATTGACAGAAATGGGCTGTTATTGACTTTCACCAATGAATGTTGACCATCAGATAGTGGATTTGTTAAATGTCCGAAATGTAAACTAGGTCTAGTCATTGCCCGGTATACACTTGCCGGTTTTCTCCAGTGTGAAGTTTAAAGGTTCACTGCCACTGCCCGGTATGCTTTACATCAATTTTTTTAGATGCATCAATTATTTCAAGTGACCAGCATGCACTTAACCGGTATTCCGAACGCGGATGTTTCTCCCAATCTATCCTCTACGGATATTAAAATATCGAATAACTAGAATAATTTTTTCTTCTTTGGAATATCAAATCGGATATAACAAATATTTCGGACATTCACCAAAGTGAATATGATTGTTGACATTCACCGGTGAAAGTCGACATTCTCTTGATTTCTGTCATGCACGGTAATATATATATATATATATATAAAAATTCAAATTCTTAAGTCAAAATTATTAAACAGGAGGTAGCGGAATAATTTTGATGTTATTTATTGGAATTATGATTCAGGAAATTTAAAAAAAAATTCTATTAACTTGGCCGATATTGAAGCCCGTCTAAGAAGGCCTGGACGGTGAACAATTTGGTTTTCATTTTCAATATTTATTGGGATTTTGTTTTCATTTTCAAAAATGTTTTTTGGGATTTTATAGGCAGATGGCAGCACTTGGATTCTATTGCTCTTTAATTTGTTTATTTGCATCTAGGTGTCGGCACTCTATTTTTGAGCTGATTTGGAATATTTAAAAATTCATTTTCACTTTTTACCAACTGTAACTGTTCATCTTTTTGATTATTTATAATGTGCTTTGGGAGCGTTTCATTGTAGTGTTTTCTATATTTGTGACTCTCTTGCAAATTTATGTGACTTTTAATGTGGTAATTATTATTAATCTTTATGCTTGTATTATCATTAGGGGCCTCGGGGCACTGTTAGTTTTGGCTTTGCCACTAACAACAGAAAGGCTCCTGTGTGTTTACAGACAGTGTGTCCCCTGATGAAGTGCTGCTCTATAGACACACAACTTTATTTNTATATATATATATATTAAAAAATTCGCCATTTTATGCTATTATTCAGAAGACATAACAACAAAAAATTTAAAATCCTGTACAACTCGTGAATACTGAAACTTTACAAGAATGTAATCTCTTAAGTGTACTGGAAGCATAAAATATTTCGTCATATGCGCTTTTTCTTTTCTTCTTATTAATCTTTTATACAGCATCTTGCACAATACAAAGTTGGGTTTTCTCATAGCATGAATTTTCTTTTTCATTAGTGATATTCTTTTTTTTCTGGCGGAAATGGAGAAAATGTTGGAGTAGTTATTTTCCCCTCTCTATTTTATTAAACTGCTTCTCAAAAACACGCAAAATATTTTTTCTTCTTTGGAAAGAACTAGGATGATTTTTCAAGACTTGAGACAAAAACTTATACTTACAAATATCACATTATTTTCAGAAATAGATGCAACTATAAAAACGTTTTGCATTATTTATATGTTGGGACCAAGTGTAGAGTTAAATTTGTTAATTTCATAAATTCAATAAAATAAATTCTTATTTATGTATCTAATTAATAAATCTTTCTAAAACAAAAGAAGCCTAAATTACTTTTTTTATTTTTTAAATATTAAATTGAAAAATAATGACTGCTAGTCAAACTAGTGGGGGAGGTTTGGTCCCCCGTCCTTAGCCGCCAATATTCGTATAGTGGAATTCATGATTGTTCATTTAGGCCATTAATGGATGAAACAAAATGAAAGTCTCCAGGAAATTAATATGAATCGTGAATATGAAAATACAATTTATTAAGCAATATTTCTTGAAGATTATAGAGAATGGCCATCAATACAAATCATCATGATAATTACAAATTATCAAAAATAAATCCATTGAAGGGATCAAGGAAATATAACTTCCACATCAAGAAGTTTTTGTTACGATTGCATATCTTTTTAAAACCGTTAGGATGACTGAGACAGGAGCGCCCCAAAGGGGACTCCTTGTCACCACAAATTTTGAATTCCAAGTGAATTTAAATATTCCCAGCGGACGTAGAAAGTATGGGTAGGAGATCCATAATTTGGCGATTTATCATATGTCATAGCCAAAACAAAGCCAACCAGTATATCAATATGGGTTTAAAAGAATTCCTTGGCGATCACGAGTCGCCAACAAATTTATGAGAATTATTACAACCATGCAACCGAAACATTTAGCCGTTGGAAATTTAGACTAAAAAGTTATAAATAGATTTTTGTTTTCGATTAGAAGCGACAGTGAATTAATAAGTCTGAATAATAATGAAATAAAAAGTATCCGTTGCATTGATTTAGAAGAGATGAAATAAATATTTTATGTTCGTTTTAAAAGATTAAGTCTTTGATTTATTTTAAATATAATTCTTTTAATAAAAAAAAAAGCTTAAGTAATAAGAGATATTTAAAAGATAGGAAATAAATATGTAATGCCAATTGTGGCATCACAAAACTGTTATGAGAAAATAGAAGTTTTAAAGAGATACATTTTTTTCCGTCGCATATACAGATAATTATTTAAGAAAATATTTTTATTTTTCAGTTCTGAATTAACTAAACCTGAGTTATCGAATTTTTAAAAAGTCGTACAGTTAAAATTCTCAGAAACGTAATTCTCAGAAACTATTAAACTGATTTCGATCAAATTTTGCATTTTGCCATGTAAAACTTTAATAGGAAAAAAAATTATATCTTGCAATTCAAGTTTTTTGCAATCACTACTAAATAAAATAATATTTACCAAAATGTATTTTTTGTTTGGAATTATATTTGGACAAATGGATTTTATAATTGTGTGCAAAAAGTTTACAATTCGATTAAAAAGTTCTCGATGTACAGTGAAATATGCAAAATAAAAGAATAATATTAAGGGGTTCAAAGTTTGGACCGCTCTTCTGACCACACTATTGGGGCCATATTTCCCAATACGCGGGAAATTATCCGAATCCATCGAACAAAAGGAATGTTTATTCGGACAAAAGTACGTTTTCGTGACTGATTTCGTAACGTGAAATATCGTGTTTGCCAACTAATTAGCGTATTTGAGGTCACCTCCTCTAACCATTAACAATGAGTCCTAGAACGTAAATTCCGATTATTAGATCAAACGTTATTCAGGGTGGTCGGTCTTTTGTTTTGAACACTGCACTACAATTAAGTCATAGCTTATATTTTGAAACTTTTTGCCCAAACGATGAGCAGACGATTCAATTTTTCTGAAGTTGCCATATTTGTTTACCTTCCAATTCATATCCAGTCTTAACTATTAAAACACTGTTTACTTATCTACTTTTATCCCTTTTTGATACTTTCAAACCATTGATTTTAATCCGTTACTTTCTACGATATTTTATTGTCTCGTCTTAACCATTTTATGCTCTGTTAAGGATATTCTCTGTTTATCATTTTTAAAACTTTTGAAACCTGTTTAAGTCTTTTAGGTATTAAACTTTTAAACCTTTTGCTACCTTTTTAGCTTTTATCCATTTCCATTTTAATTTATTACTTTTAAGTCCCTTTTTAACTATCATTTTTTAGATCTTTTTATGCTCATGCTTTATCAATCTCTATCCTCTAGTTTTCCGATCACCTTGTGGTGCTTTTAAAATTTATGATATGATGTTATAAAATAAGGGCTTGGTTTGCTACCAACAAAAAAACGACATTTACTGTTGCGACATTTACTGTTAAACGACATGTGCAAAACTTCATTATGCATTATCCTGTAACCAAATTCCTGTAAATGGATGAGATGCTGCAATGAAATGTAAATTTTAACTGGTTTTAAATAAATGCCATGTTAGGGCTTTTCCGGGGCTGCAGCGGGGGGGGGGGCACTGTCGAGGCGATGAGTTCATCAAGCATCCCTGTATACATCTGAAAATACAGGGGGTGGTCGGGATTAATAATTCCTTACCTTCCTATTTATTAAATAAAAATTTCGAGGTGCGATGGCTCAGGGGATAGAGCGTTCGCCTTCCAATGAGGCGACCCGGGTTCGCATCCCAGTCGATGTGAATTCCGCATCCGGCTTGTAGCGACCACAGTGCTGACGTGAAATATCCTCAGTGGTAGACGGGTCATGGGTTAGAGTCCTCTTGCCCGTCAGACGGAAGTTCTCGTGGTCTTCCTCTCCATGTAACGCAAATACAGGTTAGTTCCATCCAAAAATCCTCCCAATACTTGATCCAGTAGTTCCCTTGTCTTCTGAGTTGGGTTCAAAATGTCAAGGCTACGGAAATGAACATGAGTAGTCGTACCCCCCCCCCCCCNCCCCCCCCCCGCAAAAATAAAAATTTCATGGATGGAATTACTTTAAACAACGAGTGATAAAATAGTTATTAATCGAAACTTTTGATTTCAATTTGTTAGTATTTCGCGAAACTCACACAAAAACGTTTTTTTTTATAAAGATTATTCATTTAAAAATTAGTAATACCTCTCTAAAAATTACCGTCCCTGTGGATATGTGCACCCCCCCGAGATTTCGGTGCCTAAAAATTCAAAGAACCCTCTAATCCAACTTTGATAATGTAGTAGTTTTTTTTATGTGTTTAAATGTTAGCAATGTTATAGATAATATGTGTTTTTTTTTTAAAGCGTGAATGCAATGTTAATAAATTGGTTATGTTTTTGAATATCTCTGTTGATTCAAATGAACGTGCATGACCGAAATGAAGAGAATGTCGACAATCGCTTTGGTGAATGTCTGAAATATGTGTTATATCAGATTCGATATTCATAGGGTTGCCACAGAAAAAAATGAACAAAATAGTTGCTTTTAGTAGCCTAAAACATGAAAATAGTAACCGAAAACTAGGAAAATAGTTGCCTAAATAAGAAAAAAAATTCATTAAAAATAAGACTAAAATTTTGTTAATGACTTAATTGTCATATACCATGATCCATTCAGTCAAGTTGATGGCCAATATGATAATTTTTAAATAAATATTAGTGTTCTAGCAATAAATTTTTATTAAAAAAAATTTGCATATTCGCAAAAAATCAAATTATTTTAATTACTAAAATTCTTTCAAAGAATACCTTTTCATTAAAAAAAAAACTTTTTCTAAGAAATTTACCCTTTTATCAATAATTGATTCATGCATCGTAATATCGTTTTAAAAAATAGGTTTTTCAAAATCATGCATAATTTCATAGCAATAACCGTTGAAAAGGTGATTGAGAAACGAAAGATTTGCGATAGAATCTGCGCAAACTGAACACATTAAAAAGTGAAGACTCAAATATGCATTCTAAATTTTTTTATTTTACATTTTTTAAGAAAAGAAATTCAGTGTGTTCAGAAGATTTTGCGTGTCGCAGGTTCTCAACCCAATTTATACTAAACAAAAATTGCTAGGAGTACAGAAAAGTCTCCTAATAGTCTCCTTTTCCTGAAAAAAGTTGCTTTTATAGCCTTTTCAGGCAAAAAAAAGTTGCCATAGTTGCCTTATGCTGAAAATAGTTGCAAATAGTTGCATTTTAGTCGCCTGTGGCAACTCTGTATTCATTTATTCGTTGATCTTATTATATTTATTCTATATTTTAATACATGCTGAGGATAGATTAGGAGAAACATCAGCTGCACTTCACCTTTGATGTGTAGGGCACTGAACAGTGGCACTTCACTAGACCTAATATATATTTCGGACATTTGTCAAAGCGATTCTGTGATGGTCAACATTCACCGGTGGAAGTTGGCAACCACCCAACACTCTTAACACAATCCATCCTATGTATTTCACTTAGATTTCAACCTTTTTTTGAGCAAAGATTTTTGCTGAACAAAAAATACTTCTTTTTGTTGTTTTAAATTTTAAAAAAAAACAACCTTTTCGATTCATTTTGTTTACATATTTTCCTAATCAATTCCAGAGACACTGCAAGTGAAACAGTCCGGACCCTTCTTACATACGGATACATATTAGATCCTCCATCGACCGAAGCTCTTGAAGGTTTGTATTCTCATAGTTTGAATGGAACTAAAACTTGGAATGCTTACTAATGGTTTTATTTTTTTTTAAATTATTGAATTTCGTCACAAAAGCTTAGAGTAGTGGTTTTCAACCTTTGTACCATTGGTTCAAATCACAAATTTGTAAAACTAAAACTACAAAACTCAGTAGCGCGACAGAGGGCCAAAGCCTAATGTGCCTGTAGCGTTTCTACTACTACAAAATTACAATTTCAATGCAACTCGATTCTATGGCTTCTTTTCATAGAGGAAGGTTGACAGGGTCGATATCTACTGTCCCCACATGGGGGACCCGGACGTGTTGCGACCGTGGCAGAAACGCCCACTACGATTTGAACACGCCTACTTCAATGGATGGTCCACACTGAACAGTTGACTTGCTACTTGTGACTGCGACATTGCCCTTCTCACGCTGTTGCTTCTCAGTCTCGAGCACACACACCGTATACACTCGACCGGCAACACAGGAGCGGCCACGATCGTGAACTTAATACAGCTCTCGCGATAAGCACTTAAAAGGTACGATGACCTTACTACAGCTCTCCCGGCTTCTCGCAGAACAGCAATGAATCAACTAGTGGTATCCGTTCATCGAATTCTATCCTAGATATAATTCTGGTGGCCGAGTACTGTAGTGTATCTATCACTACAAAAATACAATTCCAATTCAACTCGATTCTAGGGTGGCATACCTTTTCATAAACGAAGGTTGACATTCTCTATATGTACTGTCCCCACAGTGCCCATCTCAGTTTTCTTGACCTTTGGCTCTGGGGTGGAGGAGCAGATGTTCTGGTAGGGTGGTCAGCAGAACGCGTAACCCCAAGTATGCTTGGTACTCCTTTTATCCACCTCCCACCAAAGGATCAAAGCTTGAGTCAATCGGTCCGAGAATCGAACCCAGAAACTGTGGCACGAGAGAGCGAAGCCACAGGGAGACACTTCTGCAAAAAGAAAATAAATTTGGGTTTATTAATAACTATAAACTGCAAAATATACAAGTACACTGGGTAAGTCAAAATGAAAGTTTCAATATCATAAGCGCCTTACGCAAAGTGTAATTAATGTATTTATTAATCATACATATGTGCAGAGAATGTGCTGCTGTTACGATACTATTATTAAATGAGCTATCCCAAGAAACTAAAGCGGTAAGATTCAAAACTTCATTCGCTTTTAAGAAAATATACAAAACTAAAATGACTGTCGACATGTTTCGAGAATGACCAGACTTGAAAGAGAAGAAACAAAAGTGATTTGATATATAAAATGTAAAGTTGCCAACGAAAAATGGAAAAAATAAAGGTGAGGAACAAAACAAACGAGCCCAGGAAAAAAAAAAGAAAGATTGAAAAACAAAATAATTAAAAATCACGGAGGGGCAAATCAGGGACTATGGAAAATTGGCGAAAAAGGGAATTCCCTCAGGAATTTGCCCGCATTACATAAACATTTTTTTTAAAAAAAATAAAAAAAAAATTGTGTGATGTCAACATTTTATATTTAATTCAATGATGAAACACGTAGGAAATACCTATAAGAATTGGCATTTAAGATGACGTTTAATTGAAACTATTCTATCGTGAAAGGGAGTGATTGAAGGGTTTTTATTTGCAGGGGCGGTGGGTCAGAAAGACCAGACGAAGTACGATCAAAGAACGTACAGAGCGGAGTCAACGTACGCCGTAACGAGCGGGAAATGGTAAGCATGGTTCATTGACTTGTGTTGAGAATGTATTAAACGAAGTAAAAACAATATCAGAGGGAGTTGGAAGCTGTCGTCATTAGGAAAAAACATCTTTAAGACAATCTGAAAAATTATTTTTGCTTCAAACGTAATTTCTAACACCCACTGAATGCGTGATCTTGTATTTATCATTTCAGCAATTGAATTTAGATATTAAATATATACTCTGAAATTCATTTATAGTGTGAACTTCTACTATCCCTCAAAATTACCTCAAGCAACGAAATCATCCTCCCTAAGTAACCATTATTTTCGTAACTGCGTAGTGTTAAGTAAAGGAAAGTTTTTCCTCCCTCTTTAAAAAATCTAGTTCTGTTTTTATATAAAAAAAAGATTAGAATGTTTTTTTTCATTAAGTTACGTAATTCTGTGCTGTATAAAATGTTTTGCATGAGTGTATCTTAATGGCAAAATAGGGTGGCAAATGTTTTACACCAAAAGTGTGTTTTGGTGTTTCACGACACCAAGAATAGTTCTTTTGACGCTTTTGAAGGAACCACTTTTGAATGTGAGTGATTTATAATAAGATATAATGCGCAATAAATTTATGTTTACGTTACAATTTAAACAGTTTTTGGGATGCAATTTAATTCTCAAAATAAAATTAATTTGTAAATCAAACTTACGCTACAGAAAATACTAATAACGAATTCAAGTTAGAGCCGGATAGAAATGAAACATTGTTATAAAGTTATTGACAGGAATTTAAAAATTAAATATAATTATCCTTAATAACGTGACTAAAATCATTTTGTGATGGCAAACTTCTGTTTCTGTAGAAGTATTGCAGCACAAGTCATTTCTTATTTGATTTTAAACTGACTATATTCGAAGTAATTGTTGTTTTGGAAGTAAAAATAATTCACAGAATGATTCCTGTTAGTGTCTCCGTTATTGGAGTTTGCGACACGTTTGAAGTGTAAACGTTAACTTGAAATAAAATAGTTCTTCTTGTGTTGGGAGAGTTTTTTGCAGTGTGCATAATTTTGTTGTCACGCAGGTACTTCGAGTTTGAAGTGATGACCCCAGGATCTGTGAAAGTGGGCTGGGCCACTCTTCCCTTCATTCCGTCAGTGGAGCTGGGTGGAGACGATCACTCTTGGGCCTATGATGGACATTTGGTACTTTCTTTTACACTATTTATTCTTAGTAAGACACAGGAATAACTGACAGGTCAAATAATACGCATAAATACAACCCATGTCGATTAATATTACATTGATATCGGTAGTTTATTACAATCATTATCAATAACATAACTTATCAAAAAGGATACATCGCTAATTTTAAACATAACCATCGTTATTGAATACTAAATCTATGTGAATGTTGATACATTTCATTTGGGTAACGGAAATATTGACCGAAATAAAAGCAATACCAATTAGTGAAATTGCGAAAACGCCAGTCACCAAAGTTACGCACTTAGTTTCAATAAACATACCCTTCTCTGACAGATGCCACAATAAGAAGAAAAAAAAATATGTATCTATTCACAGAATGAATGCTTTAAGTTAAAAGTACCCATTAATTACTTCCCCCAAACGTGAATTGATACTTCACATTCCCTATAAGTGAAGAAATTGATTATTTGCTCAGAACGGAACGATACATTTTTGAAGATTTCTCGCTAATTACGCTTTTTACATTTACTTATTGACATAATTTTTCAATCCATTAAGATAATATTTAGATTTTTACTTCCATCATGATAAAGGATTTGCTACTATCAAAAAAGTAAATTATTTTTTAAATAGGTCAAGATCAATTCCTTATACTTTTATTAAAAAATATTGGACTCTCATTAAGTCTTTAAAAAATTGTTCATAAATAAAATGCATGACAAGAAAGAAGTAGGGAAAAAGAACACTATTTTATTTAATCTGTATTTTTGCCCTGTATTATTTGTTTTGTTGAATTGATAAAATGGAGATGTTTTTAGGGTTATAAATACCATGGGGGTGGTACAGAATCGTATGGAAAACAATGGCAGGCCGGAGATGTTGTCGGATGTTTATTGGATCTGAACGATCGAACAATAAGTGAGTGAATTATTTAACACCAGATCTCCAGGGCTAAAGAGAATAGAAGGGCTAGTTCACTCCGCTCTGAAGCTACAATTGACGTCACTGTGTCCACAGATCTCGGAGATCGCAAGCAAAGATATTATGATAACTTCGCATCTTTCGCTTTGTAAAAATAAGTTCGACTTTTTCTGGTTATTAGCTTTCAAACTTTACGTAATTAACACATTATTTCCGTTCATAAACATAGTTAAAAAAGCTTTCTTGGCCATTATATTAAAAAAAAATACCATTTTAAACTTATAAAAATGTTTTACTAGTTGGCGAAAATGACACTATAAATACTTTATTTTAAAAAGTTCAGTTTTAACTTTAATTATTAAGAAAAATGAAAGCATATATCGACACTTTTTTNCTTTTTTCAGCTGGCGTTTTAAAAAGCGTTTTTTTTTCGAATAATACTTTTTTTCCCTTCAGTGATATCTGGTGGATCCCATGCATTTCAAGGAAAATGGGGAGTTTGCTACTTAATCATTCACGCTACTCAATCATTCACTTGCTCATGCGCGCACACTTGAAACCGAAACCCGATTGCTCCAATTCGGATAGAGAGAATATCAGATCCTTATGAAATGTTTTCCTTTTTAATTTATTTTAATTTTGTTCTTGTTTATTTTATTTTACTTCCAACACTTTTTTTGACGTAGGGGGTAAAGGTACTTCTGTTCTGAGTTCAAGGTCAAGTTGAATTCACTTGGTGATGTGGGAAAGTACCGATTGTTTCGATTTACGCCCGTTTCTTTTTGGGTTTTTTTTTAACGCTAAAACTGTTTATAGAAAGTTTTAGTTTTTCAATAATATCATTGATTGAATATGAGTTTTTTGAGTGCTTGAAAATTTTTGTGAAGTGCTTGAAAAATTTTTAAAAAGTGCTTATTTTTGATTCAAAGATTTGGCTACGCACCCTGTAAATAGGTCAAGATCAATTCCTTATACTTTTATAAAAAAATATTGGACTCTCATTAAGATTTCAAAAATTGTTCATAAATAAAATGCATGACAAGAAAGAAGTAGGGAAAAGGAACACTATTTTATATAATAGATGCCTTTCTGTATTTTTAAAATTGCCCTGTATTATTTGTTTTGCTGAATTGATAAAATGGAGATGTTTTTAGGGATATAAATACCACGGGGGTGGTACAGAATCTTATGGAAAACAATGGCAGGTCGGAGATGTTGTCGGATGTTTATTGGATCTGAACGATCGAACAATAAGTGAGTGAATTCTTTAACACTCTCCGTCGAGCATCCATCCTGAATAATAATTTCTCTTTTTTTTTTATAGGCTATACCCTGAATGGGGAACTTTTATTGGACAGTTTGGGTGGCGAGACAGCATTTAACGACATAGCCGCCGAAGAAGGTGACACTATTTAATTTCATTTGAAAAAACAGACTATTAAAAAATAAATTTAAAGTCAATTCCAACTTTAATTTAGTTACTTTTTATTAAATAATTAAAAACTTTTTTCTCTCCTATAAAACTAAAATGAATGAATTAAATTTAAATAATGAACGTAATATTTGAAAAAAACTGTATTAACACCAACTGTCATAAACTACAAGTTTAAAAAAAATGTAAGTTTAAAAAAAGTTTACTTCAAGTTTAAAAAAAATAGGGAGAACTTGAGTGGATGTTCAGAAATTATTTCATGAACGATTGAAAATTTGAACAAGATATATAAATGCATATAGGAAGAGTGTGAACTAATAGTAAGAATTGAAAAAAAAAGAGGCGCGTGGTATGAGACATCTATAAAAGTATAAATTGGGTGAAGTGAACCACACACGCTGTCACGTAATGTTCTTCATTGAATTTATCTCACACAGCGAATAATGAAATATTTAAATGTGCGCAATAAACTATTTTTTTTTATTCAAATAGAGCTTTAAGTTAGAAATGATCACTGATGTTATTTTTAAATATGTGAGAACTCAATCGCTTATAGTAAAATTTAAAACAATGACTAAAAGGTCTGGTTTCTTAGGACAAGCGCCTTATCTGGGCGTCAGCGGGACGTCAACGTCCCGCTGACGCCAACAAAATACTGGTTTGTTAACTCAAGGCCTGGTTTCTTAGAACTAGCGCCTTATCTGTGCGTCAGTGGAAAGTTGACGTAGATCTGACGCCAAAAAAATACTTTTTTGTTAGCTCAGCGTGAGCAGTCGGTCCAACGCAGACATTATCTCTCATTGCGCATGCGTTAATAACGTAAACAAATATTTATTTTGAATTTGTATTGATTTTGTTATTGTCGACCAGTGTTTTAGAGAACAAATAATGACTTTGTCCAAGAAAAAACACATTACAGCTGAGCTAAATGAAGAGTGCTATGTTTAATGAAGAAGCTATGTTTAATGTCAAAATCAAAATCTTGGCTGGGGTAGACTATATTTGAGGGTGCCCCCGCCAAGTGTGATCGCGATTGATCGCCAAGCTGGGCGATGCTAAAAACCAATCGTGATTCTGAGTGGTTTAGATTTTAATCATGATTCTGATTTGTTTAGAATTTAACGTTGTTTTTAAATGAATTTTTAAATGTAATTTCAGAGATTCCTTAGTTCTACTTTGGATACCGGCTGGTAAGGTTACTTTTGCTTCTGGTACTAAAAATGAATACTATCAATAAGATAAATCTTAAGTTTCTGCACGATTTGAATAACAATGGAAAAAAAGCAGTGATTGACTGGTGTATGAATGAAGGTTTAATTAGTAATATATATAAATGTCCTGTTTGTGGGTTGCCATGGCGTTCCGGGCAACCAAGTATGGCGCCAAACATAAGTCGCCAATTTCGCCAAGGGGCACCCTCAAGTATATTTTTCCCTCATGGCTGATTTCAATGTGCAACAGGATGTTGTCCGCCATTGCTTCTGTGGTTAACGTCACGTTGTAATCCAACTGCAGTTGAGTTGGACGGCAATTGTAGTTCAAGATGAGCGTTCGATGACGTATACTATCAAACTCACAAATGGACCAATCAGAGGTTAGCGCTGATTTCCAGCTGACGGCGTCCTGTCCTAAGAAACCAGGCCTTTAGATAAGCGTGAGCAGTCGGTTCAACGCAGACATTATCTCTCATTGCGCATGCGTTAATAACGTAAACAAATATTTATTTTGAATTTGTATTGATTTTGTTATTGTCGACCAGTGTTTTAGAGAACAAATAATGACTTTGTCCAAGAAAAAACACATTATAGCTGAGCTAAATGAAGAGTGCTATGTTTAATGAAGAAGCTATGTTTAATGTCAAAATCAAAATCTTGGCTGATTTCAATGTGCAACAGGATGTGGTCAAAATATATTTGAGGGTGCCCCTTGGCGAAATTGGCGACTTATGTTTGACGCCATTCCTGTTTGCGCGGAACACTGTGGTAACATGAATGGTGGCCAAAATTTTATAAAATTGTAATGAACCCAATGTAAGGAAAATTAATGAACACAATAAAAGGAATTTTGAATCGAAGCAAAAATTAATGGAGTAAGCACAGAAAGAAAAGGAAAAGAAAAAAACTCACTTCGTCATTAGGTATGAATATCCTCAGATTTAGGTGCACAGAATTCTGTAATAGCAGTTAGATACTGTCTAAATTTATCATGAATAGAATCTGTGTACCTCCATCGCCACATAAATTCGGCGAAATACGAATCGAAAATGGCGTCCGTGGTACTGAACTGGCGGTGACATTTTTTTCTGAAGTCCCATTTTATGACTGCCCACATACCTTCGATCTTATTGACCAGAAGCAAAAGTAATCTTACCAGCCGGTATCCAACTTAGAACTAGCGGACTTCTGAAATCACATATAACGTTAAACATTCAAAAATAACGCTAAAATCTAAACCAATCAGAATCAAGATTGGGTTTCAACATCGCCCAGCTTGGCGATCAACAGCGATCATAACTTGGCGGGAATTAAGGGGCACCCTCAAATATAGTCTACCCCAGGATGTTGTCCGCCTTTGCTTCTGTGGTTAACGTCACGTTGTAATCCAACTGCAGTTGAGTTGGACGGCAATTGTAGTTCAAGATGAGCGTTCGATGACTATCAAACTCACATATGGACCAATCAGAGGTTAGCGCTGATTTCCAGCTGTCGGCGTCCTGTCCTAAGAAACCAGGCCTTAACGTTTAACGAATCAGAAAATTCCATTTCGTTTTTCGCTCATCCCTCTTTAATGACTGAACTTAATATTTGAAAGAACTGTATTAACATCAAGTGTCGTCCAGTATAAGTTTTACAAAAAATGTATTTGAAATTGAGTGGATGAATAAGAAAGTATTTTTTATCAACGATTGAACACTTGAACAAGATATTTAGGGAGAGAGTGTGAATTGAATTAGACATTACAAAGTTAGATGATATTTTAGCCCAAATGTTGTATACATAAATTATGAGATGAGGTGAAAATGAAATGATGTTATTTAAATAAAAAAGGTATCAAATTAGGAATTTGTTTCAATTATTTTAGTAGAAGCTCACAAAAGTGTAACATATTTTCTCTAAACTTAATTCCCATCCACGAGTGAGTGATTGGACACATTTTTATTTCAGGTTTTGTTCCCGCTTTTACACTCGGAATTGGACAAAAAGCTAAGCTTGTTTTTGGCCAGGATGTGAACCATCTTAAATATTTCACCGTTTGTGGTCTGCAGTCCGGATTCGAACCTTTCTGCGTGAATATGAATCGAAATATGACTTTCTGGTACAACAAAGACGAGGCCACGTTCGTCAACGTCGACGAATTGTCCGAATCACCTATTGAAGTGGGTCGAATCCCGGCAGGCACTGGGGCTCCTCCAGCCCTCAAGATCTCTCACAGACTGTATGAGACAGTTGACAAAGTGAATTATGAATTTGTGAGGCTTAGTCTTCCAGTCACATGCAACGATGAGTATATTGAGTAAGTCATGGTATTTAACTTCCCAATTTCCGTTTAAAAAAAAAATACTTCACGAGTTGAAAATTACATTTAACGCTAAACATACCATTTCCGGTCAAATGACCGTTTAAGAATGTTTGCATCGAAAATGCGCTTATTATCTTATCGTTTTTGCACATTTGACTTCATGACTTTTTCTAACAATTATATACAGTTAATATTCTATTATTATTCTTATTTTGTATTTGTTTGTTTCGAATAATACGCGTCGTGTATACCTATTTCTACCACAATCGGTCATTTGACCGGGAGAACAATGTATTGCTTTGTAAGATGATCGGATCAGAAATGCAATGCGTGTTCAATGTATTGCATTCGATGAGTTGCACATTTCTGCAAAGACTGTTGCGTCGTTAGTTCAATCAGAATAAATGCGAATTCTCCACTAAAATTGCAACGTTTTAGCATTAAAATTTTTTTTTTCGTCCAGCAAAACATTAAGGTCTCGCAAATATTTGGGGGAGAAAATAGCGTGGAAAAAATTTACCTCACTATTTACGCAAATTAAATCATAAAGATAAGGTTGATTTTAAGTATTTTTTGCAAATGTTCAAAGAGAAAAAAATAGTAAAATAATACTCATACATGGTGAATTAATGATGGCGAGGGAGGCGGACCACTATTTATGAAATAGAAGTTGTTGCTAACTTATCCCTCTCTTAAGAATGCATTGTCTTCAACATTCGGCATAGTTGAAATAATTTTGTAAAAATATTTTGATGAGTTTCGAATTTAATTGAAAATTTTTTTTTCTCCATCATTAACTTCAGTCGGAAACAATATAGATTAAGCCCACTCCTGTAATTTATTAAAACAAATACTCCTCCAGATGACCGTTACGAAGATAAGTCACTGAGGTTAGGAAAGTTTCCTCACTCTTTCATAAATGGGTATTCATTGCATTCTTTTTTTCAGTGAATTAGGTAAAGCACGAAACTGGGAAGAGATTCGCCGCCGTCAGAGAGGACAGTTTGGAGACAGGTCTATTCGACATCCAGGTATTTATGAATTAATTGTATGGTATCAAAGGACTTACTTAGTATACATTTATGGATGCCTGATATAAACCCTTAATCAAAGGACTCATGTGGTATAAGTTTTATTTAGAGCTACAGAAGTCAAAATTTGTTCGGTATCCATCGGTTTTCTACCTATTTTTCTTGCATTTAGTGTAGAATGTTATATTTATGAGTAAAATGTTAATCAGTTTTTATTTTAAAGAATTTTTTTTTTAAGTAAACACTCTTTTTTAAATTACTTTTCAGCAAATTTAGAGCATCATATGCTTGAAAGTGGATTTAGTCTTTCAGACGTCAAAGGTAAGGATTTATGCTTTTAAGATGAACATCAGGACAAGCAATTATTTTGCTGTCCATACAACATTACATTAAAATATTTAAAAATCTTAATTATATTTATGAATTAATAATTAAAGAATTAATATTTATAAATTNAATCATGTTCATCATGATATGACAGACCAGCATGTTAAGTTTGTAAACGATCTTTTGGGACACCCTGTATATATATATATATATTCCTGCTGAAAGTAATAACTTAAAAGGCGATTATACAATTGAAAACGTTGAATATATTTGTAGTCGCTTGATATTTCAAACAGTAAGAAAATAACAGATAAAAAAAAATCCAAAGTTGTGTTCTGACAAAGAATAAAACGGCGACTATTGTACAGCGTGAAAGATACGGATAATACAGAACTAACTATTTTTAAACTCGTAATATTATCCAAAAAAGTTATCATAAATAGCCTTTCTGCCTTGACTATCAATGATGAGGATTTGTTTACGAATTTAGATTCTTTCATCGTAAAGGCCGTTATTAAATTTTTCATTGTAAAATAACACCTATATGGATATTTTGTTATGGGAACATACAGAAGCCTTTATCACGAAATGCAACAACTTTTGCCACAAATTAGAGTACAGCTAGCCAAATGAACTACGCATTTTAATATGTTGCAAGATAGTTGGAAAAAAGAGAAAGGTTTCCTGTGAAGCCTTAACGCAAGTCGTAGGTGTTATTTGGGATGCGAGCAATAATGTGTTTTAAACTAGTATACGGAGAAAAATTTGTCAAGTGTCTAAAGGACCAGCAACAAAATGTTTAATTTTGGTATCTAAATTTGATGATCCTCCAGGTCTATTTCCTTCAGTTATAGTTGTTGTGAAAATATGACTTCACGATACGTGGCTTAGTGGAATCCAGAGAAAAGAACCCTTTGCATAAGCGTGGAACAAGTGGATCCATTACCATAATCCATTACCATGGATCCATAAATCCATTACCATGTCTGAACATTCCAAGGAGGATTGTTTCTTAGCAGAATTCCGACATTATTATAGCGATGCTTCAGCGATGCTTCGTACGCTCGCCACACAGAAGACAATTCTACAAGAGTCACTCTAATACAAACTCTCAAAAAACTTGCCCCCTCCCATCAAAAAGGTCACATTAAGAAATTATATTAGAATTAGCAGGTTGGCGTAACCGCAATTTGTTATTATGTATTTTATACTTCTGAATTTCCATTCGTTTCTAAAATTGTAATATCAAGTGTGTATATTCATCTGTGATTGAATATTGAAGCCTTTCTTTCAAACAGATTTGGAAAGAGGTTATGCAGAAGATGCTGCAGGAGATAGAGGAAGAACAGGAAAGCGTCACTCCATGGACTTGGCAATGAATCTCGCTGTTCCCCTCGGTCCAACCGATCCCTCCAAGCTGAGGTCAGCATCAACAGAGAACATCCACAAAAAAGAACTGGAGAGTGGCACGGAGAGCGATGCGGCCGGAATGGAACCTGACAGGCCAAAGAGGAGAGGTCGTTCCCCGTTCCGTTTCTTCAAAAAGAAGGAACCTACCCAAGAGGCTTTCTCGGATACCGAAACTGTTCGACCGCCTTTGGAGCAGCCGGCAGGACTCGCTGCCCAAAGGTCGATACGAGTGTCCACTGCCCAACTAGTTCCCCCAACGGTGCCGGATCGTGTCCCGACAGCGGCCAGAAAGCTTTCGAGGATTCCGACAGAGGTCACTCCTCCTGACGATGGCAGTGATTACTTGGATTCCTCTTCTTTGGACCTTATCGACGAGTACTTTTATGCTATTCGAATATTTCCCGGACAAGAACCGAACAACGTGTTCTGCGGTTGGGTGACAACCACTTATAAGCAGTCTGATACAATTTTCGAAAATAACAAAATTCGTAAAGTCATCTTCCAAGGGTTCGAAGAGATGCAGGAAGTGTAAGTAACAACCCAGATAGCAAAATAAGGTTTATTTTAACTCATCAAAAACCTTTCAATGTAAACCTAAAAAGGTTTGTGATACGTGTTTCCCAAAGTGTGGTACGCGTACCCCCAGGGGTACGGGAACAGTTTAGCAGGGGGTACGCGTTCTTGCGCAAAATATCTTGCAGCAAACGAAAATTTCGAAAACTTTTATTTAAAAACGAAGCTAGCCATGAAAATTCATAATTACATATTTTTCGATTGGCTATTTTTTGCAAAGTTAACAGTTAATAATGAGTGGTGTCAACAGCCAGTTGTGATTTTTAATTTTTGTGTAATTTTTTATAGTAAAAAATACATTCATTTTTTTATGAGTGGTCCACAGCGTTACGAAAAATTTAGAAAGGGTACACAAAAGTTTGGGAAACACTGCCGTAAGGTTCCATGCTTTCTTGGACATTTAGTGTTACAATAGCACTGAAAAATAAACACCTCTGATATTTTGAAATACTATTTTGATTTTAAAATATACGCATCTAGATTGCAGAGTGTATTACGTGCTCGTGAGAGGCAGAAATGTCTACAATCGTCAGGTTTACATTGCTTTATAAAAATGAAAAAATAAAACTCTTATTGGTACCAGACATAAAAAATAAAATTCCTTCCACTTGTTTTAGTATAATATTCGGGAGATTTCACAAATTTACGATAGATTCAGTTCGTAAGATTTCAAGTAATTGCGCATGCAATTTAACTTTCGAACACAAAATAAGAACAAACATTTACAAGGATGTGGCATAGGATTCAAAATGTTTTGCTCTACTGGGGAATATGTGAGCAGAAAAATTGGGTAGCTTATAGATTTTGATGCATTCAGCAATAAAGAATGCAGCTTATTATTATTAATATTAAAAAAATATTATTCAACTACTATTGATTATTTAACTTTTTTTTAACCAAATTTTATAGTTAGAATAAATAAAAATTATAATTTTAAAATAGCGAAAATGTATCTAATTTTTAATGGAGTGAATTCCATTACACAACCATAATGTAAAACAAAAACCAATAAAATTATTTTTTTATTGAATAAACCAAAGGTTTTTATTGACACGTACGGTGTATTGTACGCTTATGGCACAACACTTACGGTGTACGTTGAATATATATCATAATCTGCAGAATGAAAAATGAACTCCATTTCCAATGGGATTGAATACATATAGTCATGTATACCTTTTGGTTAGTAATATCAATTTCATATTATACGCATTCCCTGATACCCTGACCCTTTCAGTCTTGTGTTAAAAATATTTTTTTCTATATATGTATATATGGGTCATTCTCACGAAAACTGTCATTTTTCAGTTCATAAAATCCCAAAAAAGTAAAGTGAATAAAAAGCTCTGAAACTTTTTATATTAATAGAAATATGTAATGGCATTATAAAGAAAGTATATATCCTATAAATTATNGCCAATGTCGAGATTTGTATTCACATAAGTTTAAAATCCTATGTCGTGATTCGTATTCACTCTGTTGTAATATAAAACATAGATTTTCTTATTTGTACTTGATTTAAAAATTACTCATAGGGATTTATATTCACTTGATCTTAAAATTATGCATCATGATTGGTATTTAAGCGATTTAAAACTTCAATATCGCGATTTTTATTTTTGCTTTTTCAAAATCCAATATCGAGATTCATATTCATGTGATTTTAAAATCCAATATCGGGATTCATAATCAGCGATTTTAAAAACTAATATTGCGATTCATATTCACGTGATTTTAAGATCCAATATCGCGATTCTTGTAAGAAGTAAGTTTTCTTGAATTAGTTATTATTAAAGTGCGATATCCTTCATTAGTAGGCAATTTAATTATGAATGCTAGTTCAAAAAATTGTGTTCACTAAGAATAATGATTGGTATAGAAATTGATATTGATTTTTCTCACATAAAAATTTCAGGGTTTTTCACTTTGTGCCACAATTCACAAGCACCTCCTGTTTAGTCATGTGAAAATGATAGCAAGTCCTAAAAAGGTTGGGGACTTAATGGTTATAATTTATGTATAATCTAACAATGTCAAAGCATTTATATTACTAAGTAAACTGCAAAAAACCATGTAATTTAAGTTGAATTAGAGAATAGAGTCGATGAAAATTCAATTCTAAATATATGAAATCTCTAATATTTTAATGTACTTAATATTATATTAAGCATTTTATTTTTAATTAATATTTATACTATGGTAATAGTTTATATTTAAGTCATTTATTTAATTTATTTCTAAAAGAAAACAGTTTTAATAATAAAATTAAAATAGAAACAAGTAATATATAAAAAAAAATTGAAGTAAATTCCTACTATTTCAACAAAGAAAATTTTTATTTAATTTGTAATAATACAAATTATAACGAGTGTGAACGAATAGTAGGAATTGAAAAATTAATTCGTTAAATTTAATTAATGAACTAATATAATAATTGAAAAAACTGTATTAAACATAAAGTGCCATTCACTACAAGTTTAAAAAAATGTAATTGAATTTGAGTGAATGAATAAAAAGTAATTTATTAATAATTGAAAATTTTAACAAGATATAAATACAGTCGGATCCCGATTTAACGAACCCCTATTTAACGAATTTCGCGATTTAACGAATTTTTTTTCAACTCCAGCAAAAAGAGTCAAAAACCCCTAATTAACGAATAATTAACCTCGAATTAACGAATTATTTCAGCATCCGGAAAAAATATTTTTCATTAATTTTGATCAGAAAAATATTGCATTTTTTTGCAATTGGCAGATTTTAAAGGGAAAAAAGTCTTTCCTGGGAAGAATAAAGTAGAAAAAGTGCATATTCGTCTCAAACAAAAGAAACGCCCGCAACAGGGAAAAACAAAATTCGTCGTGGATAGGTGAGCAGAGTCAATAAGACATATTACACTTGCGAGGTCATTTTCCGGGGGTTTGTCACGTGGACTATGAGTCAAACAGGAAATTCCTTTCTTATCTTAGATAGTCGTTTATAACTAGTAATTTTTAATAATACATATGTACAAAAAAAAATTTTTTTTTAACCCGAATTAAGGAATAAAATTTCCGGTCCCGATGAATTCGTTAAATCGGGGTCCGACTGTATATATATATAGTTATAATGCTTTTTGCAAATCTGTATATTTTTAAAACATCTCAATAAAATACTATTTTGGGTTACGTTTATAATTCGATTTATTTAGGCTACTGAAAACCTTTTATACAGGCTACTTGAAAAACTTATTAAAAATGAGTTTACATGGACGAATGTCCAACTTTAATCTGCTTTTAGGTATATAAAGCAAGAATTCAAAATCAGTGTCTAATCAATCAATATACAGTCTCTGGCCAAATTATGAGACGCATTCTTAAGATTCTACGTCAAAAATTAATTATCAGGTGATACTGTACAACTTTATTGTTTTTATGAGGTTTGTACTTGCTTACGTCCATGTATCAGTGGGTTAACATTGTCATGCAATACGTCAAAAAATAAGTGCAAATAGGAAGTCTATAATAAATCTTCGGAATAAAAACCCCATTACATGTACACTATCTAGCCATTAATGACCGGACACTGTGAAGTTCGGCGGTGGAGTAATTATGGTGTGGTCCTGTTTCTCATGGTTTGGTCTTGGACCCTTGGTGTTAGTGTGTCGAACCCTGAACGCAGAAGGGTGTAGAGACATCCTGGACAATTCAGCACTTCCCACCCTGTGGCAACAGTTCGGTAATGGCCGGTTTGTGTTTCAACACGATAACGCTGCCATTCATAAAGCACATGCTATCACGGACTGGTTTGATGAAATGGGGATGCAAGAGCTTGACTGGCCATCCCAAAGTCCGGACATCAATCCAATTGAGCATCTCTGGGATGAGTTGGAGCGCTGGTTGAGCGCCAGACCACAACGCCCCAAAACCACCACTCAACTCTTCGCCATGTTACAGGAGGAATTGCGGGCAATACCTGCCGCCGTGTACCAACACCTAGTGGATAGCCTTCCTAGAAGGACTAAAGCTGTGATACCGGCGCGTGGCAGCCCTACGCCCTACTGACTTGATACTAGCACCTCATGTATCCGAAATGAGGGGTGTCCGGTCATTAATGGCCAGATAGTGTATGTTTGACTATAAAAGTATTGCCTATGAAATCGTGCAAAACATGTCATTATTAAAACACTACAGTACGTCTAATAATTGGATCTAATTATTGCAATATTATACCTGATATAATAAATATTCTATATTTATATAATAGATTGTCTACTTTATATTATCTATCGCCTAATTTAAGCAATTGTTACACGAATATAAACAAATGCAAACCGTTTCCACTCTCGTATAAACAATACAGCTGTATAGAGTATCACTTGATATTTAAGGTTTTACATAGAATCTTTTACTGCGTCTACTAATTCGGCCAGTGACTGTAAGATGCACAGTTTATCTTACTTAAAAGTAATTGTTTTAGCTGAAGTTTATGATAGTATTCCTTCCCCCCCCAAAAAAAAATGTATTAATAGAGAAACGTGTTTCTCACAAAAGAGACTCGAAGTATTAAGCTCTGCATAGAAAAAAAATAAAATTCAATGAAGGGATTTACAGTGATGACGAAAAGGTATAAACTAATCTAAGATTCTGTTTGGCAGGATGGATCGGCAGGATTGCTACATGGTGTGTGCAGGACAACTGTACTCGGATGTGAGTCAGGGGGATGCTAATTCTCGCAGCTCAAATCAAGGGATGGTTGTTGGATGCCACGTCGACACTTCGATGGGTCTCATTACATTCACAGCCGAAGGACAACCGACGAGATACACTTTTAAGGTTCTTAGATAGCTTATTCAAATTCATTGCCAGCAAATTCAATACTTTAAGATGCCGATCACCGGTCTAGTGGACTACTGGACCAGTGGTTGTGGGTTCGAATCCCACCGTAGGCATGGATGTAAATATTTCTCTCTGTGTTCTATAGTTTGTCTAAGCTAAGAACTTCCCGCTATAAAGTCTGGGACCGTCTGGTGCTATGGAAACAAGAATGGCTCATTACAAGAATGGGTAGCTCCACTCTAGGACTAATACAATAGACCGAAAAGATTCCCTTTCTCTCGCCGACTCGAGCCGAATCCACTCCAAAACAGTGACCCCGCACTCCTACTTGAAATAATCGTACCTCGTTACCATAGTCACCGCCACAAGTCCAGGCGAATGTCTGGTGGAGTTATTATTTTAGACAAACTATATGCCCTTTCTTCTGTGTAAATGTAACCCACCTTATAAACGGGTTTGTGGTTGTATGACGCTACTCCACCTCCATGACTTAGCCACAGTTGTCCAACGATAAGAGAGTAGCAATTCTGTCATTTATGAGGTCAATGGAAAATAGACACAAGTAGAAAAAAAAGTTACTTATGATTCTTAAAAAATTTAATGCCTACTTTTTTAGTAAATTAAAGTCATTACTTTATGTTTAGTTATAAGTTCCTTCCAATCCATTTAAATGCTTACTAGTGATCACCAACCCTTTCGCGTTCTCTTCGGATTGCTCAACCATTTCGAGCTCTTTTCACTTGTCCATTGGATACTTTACTTATGGCTAGCTTTGTACACTTTTTTCGGACTGAAATGTAAACAAATAGTTCAAACTTTTCCTTGTACGAAATTCTTTAACTTAAAACAAAATTTAAGTTAAGATAAGGAATAATGAAGGAGTGTTGATCTGCGTTTCTTTTTTGGTTATGACCAATGATTGAAAAGAAATTTGATTGATTTTATTACCACGTGCGTGTAAAAGTATTTTATATACTATAGATTGGGTTATTTAAGTTCATTACTAACACATGAATGTTGCAGGTGGAGCCTGGCACTAAGCTTTTCCCATCTGTGTTCTTTGAAGCTACGAGTAAAGAGGTTCTTCAATTTGAGCTGGGTCGAACAGCAACAACTCTTCCATTGTCCTCAGCTGTTTTACGCAGTACCGAAAGACACCTCACCCCTCAATGTCCACCTCGACTTAAAGTAAGTTTTTTTTCCAATTATTTAAATCACTTTAACACCTATTTTTTTTAGCGAATTAGAATATAGTGTCATAATTAGAGCCCGGATTTTGATGACCTAAAAAACCTCAATTAATTGCTTTAAAAAGTGCAAAAAATGCCCTTAAAAAGTGCAAAAAATGCCCTTTAAAATGCGAAAATTGCGCTAAAAATGCCTTATGACATGATTTAAATAAAGTAAAAATATTGAACTAAAACAATATTTTACTCTTTAAAATTACTGTGAGTCATTTCAAAAAATATAAAGCAATGCAATACTTGTTCTACGTTCATTAAAGTTTGAAAAATATGTTTTATATCCTGAAATAACAAAAAAAGGAAAATATATTGACTCCAAAACATTTTCATTTTGTATAGAAACTTTAATGAATATAACAACTTCCATCTCATAATATTACTAAATATCAGAATTACATTGGATTATTAAATGTTTTTTGATAATTTGAAATGTAAACGAGCGTCTCTTGTGTGAAAGTAAATTTTCATTCCTGCAGAAGCTTCTTTCAACGTCTACTGATGTTATAGGTGCGTACTTGAAAAAGACGGTCTCACTTACTGACAATTCTTCTTCAATTTGAAAAGATGTTGCTACACCTGTTAATTATCCTAGAGATTTTCTTCATTGTTTGGAAGACAGTGTAATAATAAAAAATGATAAAAAAAATAATAAAAATTGGAAAAAATTAACAAAAAATTAAAAAAATGCTTTAAAATGCAAAATACGCCAAAACATGTAAAGAAAAATGCTCTATAAATCTAAAAAAATGGTCTAAAGGACAAAAAATTTCCAAAAATGCAAATGTCATCAAAATCCGGACTTTAGTCATAATACATAGGATAAAATTGGGGAATAATTTTACTGTCACCGGCAGTAGCATTTTTAATAGTGACCACTTTTAACATTTTTAACATTGAAAATTCCAAAAATTAGTGTCCCGCAGTGGACTCATCGTAAAGACACTGTTCCCAGTAGGGCGAGAGGGAGGTGTTACTTAGGAGCAACAAGACACGCACCACCGATCGATAAGGGGGAGTGTTGATCGAAAAGAAATAATAAAGAAAAATAGAATTTTGGGGGGAGCTGGTATAAATATCTTATATGACGTCCAGTGTACCTTCAATCGCTTCAACCCAAAATCATTTTTTTAAATCCTAGTTTATTGAAAATCGAAAAGGAAGGTTACAAAATTAAGGGTAATACAAAAGGTTGTGGTAACAAGAATATATAGCATTAATGTACTAATGATAGCAAGAGATGCAGTATAACAGGATTTGATATGATTAACAAAATGATCCAAGTAAGATTAATAAAAAATAGTAGGGGATAATGCATACAAAAATCAATGTAGGGATGACATCCAAGTAACATAGCAATAAAATTTACAGTAATAAAAATGAAAAGAATCCAAATAAAAATAATAAAAATAGTAAAGTAATATAGTATAATGGATAATAATTGGTAAAAATAAAAATAACAAACATTGGTTAAATTGGTGTTTGCTTATAGCTGTGTGAAAGAAATTGTTTACAATCTGATGAGGTAAAATAAGTAGTGAAAAAATTAGATATAATAACAACAGAAGGTGAAACAGACTGGGGCTGTGATAAGTATAAATCAAGATAAATAAAAAATAAGCAAATAAATATTATCATAATAACAAGCAGGTAGAAGTGTAAAAGTAATAAAAACACTATGTAGGAGAAAGAGTATGTGGGAATAATAACAATGTTCGTCAGTAGATGGCACCACTGAGGTAAACTTACAAAGAACGAATAAAAATTTGTTAATAAAATGTTAAAGATACAATTATAATTTGGAGAATGATTGTGAAGTAATTAAGAGATCGTTAATCAGATTTATAAGAAGATAATTAATAAAGAGGTATAATGGGGAAAGATGATTACGACAAATAAATTAGTGGAGATTAAAATTTGGGGTGATAGTGATGGTAAAACTAATGGTAATTGACCGAAGTTAAGCATCACTGGCTGCGGTCAGTAAGCGGTTGGTCACTTTGATCAGCCTTCGTAGGGACTGAGGATGCACGGTATCAGTCTTCGTTAAAATGTTCCACCGTAAAGTGCTCGACTTCGCGTGCAAGAAGGGGAGCTATCCCTTCTGAAGAGGATCGGAATTGCGATGACATGTCTTCGGACCATCCTCAGGGATGTTTCCCAGACAGTCGCAAATAGCTCATTGTACCAATAGCCAATTGCTCAAGTACCGACCTATCTAAAAACTATCATAATTGTAAAGTATTGTTTTTCTTAATATATGAAAAAGCATTATTTCTAAAGATGGGAAACAGACTTCTCCAAGGATGTAAAGTTTTTGCATCACGTTTACCACTAATGCAATACTAATGAGTTTTTGAACCAATAATAAGTTTTATTAACAAACATAAAATCTTTTGCTGTAATACTTCACGTAAATATTGCTTTTAAATATTATCAGCCATAAATTTAATATAATATGAAATTAACCATGAATGAAACCTAATTGTAACTCCCCTGAAACTTTGAACTAACGCAAAATAACGTTTATGTAACAGCTTTTTCGTGTATTATAGAATACACGAAGTTGATAGCGTGGATTAAATATGAGGTACATATTTCACAACGTTAATAATAATAATTTCTAAAATCCAACAGATGGTGCAGCAACGTAAAATGATTAATTATATTCAGTTTCCTTTATGGCATTGTACCATAAACAACATTCCTTGTTTTTGTTATTAAATGTTCTTTGTTATTAAATGTTCTTTGTTCAATGCTTTAAAGCCCCCAGAACTCTGCACTCAACACTTCCCGGTGGTGCTTCCAGCTCGGGAGCATTATCGAAAATATTAAATTCCATTGTTGAAAATCATTGTAACAGATTAAACATTGTAAAAAGGGAAAAAATGACTTTCTCGAACGAAAGTGAAAGTAAAGCAGATGATTTATCAGATGAAAATGTGAACATATACATAGACTAATGTTTGACTTCTGACATATACATAGACTAATGTGTCTTCTAGTAAACTGATGATGAATTAATTATTTTTTTGCACATAAAAAAATTAAAAATATCGACTTAGAACTTGTGTAGTATGTTTTATTTTAGTTCCTAGTATTTATCAATGAAATAAAAAATATGTTGATTTTTTCCATTTTTTTTTTCCAAAGAAAAATTGGTAAGGGTTGGTTAAGACTGAGTCAAAAATCTTATCACTAGATAAAAAGTTATTCAGGGTCTTTTTTATTTTGTGCACTGTACGTTTATTTTCATTTAAGATAACTTTGTAACTATATGATTGTCTTGCTTGTACAGGTTCAGTGCTTGCAGCCGTATCAGTGGGCACGTGCCCCGAATGTAAACTTGAAACCACATGCTCTCAAATTGTCTGATATCCGTGGTTGGAGTATGCTTTGTGAAGATCCCGTCTCCATGCTTGCTGTTCACATTCCAGAAGAAGACAGGTGCATCGATGTATTGGAACTAATTGAACGAGAAAAGCTTCTAAGGTTATCATTTGCACTTCTCTTTATTAATCGGGAACTTTGCAAAATTGTTTATCGCTTACGAAACTTCTTGCTAAAAATATGCTAAAACGGATCCTTCGTCAAATATTTTACATCGAAATTCTTTAAATGCGGTGAATCTTATGAGTTTTGTTCATTAAAATAAGACCTTATTATCCCTTATTCACAAAATAAAGAATCCTTCAGAAAAAAAATATGATTCTAACGTATAAATACACAAGTGGGCGTCCTTTGTGCTAAAATACAAACTAAGGTAAACAACGTTTAAGAGCACGAAAAATATTTATAAATGCAGACAGCTGTTTCGGATGCTCAAAGGGCAAACGTATAGTTTGTCTAAAATAAGAACTCCCCCAGACATTCGTCTGGACTTGTGACGACTATTTCTAATAGGGGTGCGGGGTCACTGTTTTGGAGTGGTTTCGGTTCGGGTCGACGAGAGAAAGGGAATCTTCGGTCTATTGTGTTAGTCCTAGAATGAAGCTACCCTCCCTAAATGAGCCATTCTTGTTTCCATAGCACCAGACGGCCTCAGACTTTGTGGCGGGAGGAGTTCTTAGCTTAGACAAACTATAATTTTTTCTCAGAAACATAAACACCGGATCGCTTACAGGAAGTTTGGAGTGTTCAAAACTTTAATGATAAGATATCATTATGATATGATATCATTATGATATGATATCATTAATTATTAGATATCATAAAGGTTAAATAAGTCCTTGTAGGAAATGCTCATCGAATTGATGATTTTTTGGAGAACAAGAATTTATTCGAATTAAAATTTTAAAGCATTTAAATAGTCACTCAAAGTTTATTACAAGCTGAAAAATATCTTTTTCTTTTACTGTTTTTTTCCCTCCATTTTCTAGGCAAAAGAATGTTACTCTTCTTTCATATAAATAATTATATGCCGACATCTTTGTTTGGAAATTAAATAACTCTAGACTTTTTCAGTTTCCATGCTCATACACTGGCTCTGTACGGTGCTCTATGTTTCCAAGGGAATCATCGAGCTGCCCACACCATCTGCACCCATGTGGATGAGAAGCAACTCATGTACGCCATACAATCTGAATACATGTCTGGACCACTCAGAACTGGATTCACAGATCTACTCATTGCTCTGCATTTAGAATTCCACGCATATGCAAGGCAAGTTCCATCCACTATAGTCTCTGGCCTTAGACCCCACTCTAAGATTCTATATCAATAAATCTTAACTATCAGATACAGCTTTATTGTTTATACGAGAACGGTTTGCTTTTGCTTATATTCGCGTAACAATTGCTTAAATTAGACGATATATAATTTAAATTCGACGACTGGATAAAGTAGACGATATACACTATCTAGCCATTAATGACCGGACACTGTGAAGTTCGGCGGTGGAGGAATTATGGTGTGGTCCTGTTTCTCATGGTTTGGTCTTGGACCCTTGGTGTTAGTGCGTGGAACCCTGAACGCAGAAGGGTGTAGAGACATCCTGGACAATTCAGCACTTCCCACCCTGTGGCAACAGTTCGGTAATGGCCCGTTTGTGTTTCAACACGATAACGCTGCCATTCATAAAGCACATGCCATCACGGACTGGTTTGATAAAATGGGGGTGCTAGAGCTTGACTGGCCATCCCAAAGTTCGGACATCAATCCATTTAGCATCTCTGGGATGAGTTGGAGTGCTGGTTGAGCGCCAGACCACACCGCCCCAAAACCACCACACAACTCTTCGCCATATTACAGGAGGAATGGCGGGCAATACTTGCCGCCGTGTACCAACACCTAGTGGATAGCCTTCCTAGAAGGACTAAAGCTGTGATACGGGGGCGTGGCAGCCCTACGCCCTACTGACTTGATACTAGCACCTCATGTATCCGAAATGAGGGGTGTCCGGTCATTAATGNACCAACACCTAGTGGATAGCCTTCCTAGAAGGACTAAAGCTGTGATACGGGCGCGTGGCAGGCCCTACGCCCTACTGACTTGATACTAGCACCTCATGTATCCGAAATGAGGGGTGTCCGGTCATTAATGGCCAGATAGTGTATTATATAAATATAGATTATTTATTATATCAGGAATTATATTGTAATAATTAGACCAAATGATTAAACACTGTAGTGTTTTAATAATGACATGTTTTGCACGAGTTTATATGCCATACTTTATGTTTAAACATGCTTGTAATGGGGTTTTTATTCAAAACATCTTTAGTGCAAACCGCTTAAAAACAAGAGCTGTATAATATATGATGATAATTAAGATTTTACATAGAATCTTAAAGTGCGTCCAATAATTTGGCCATGGACTCACTGGATGACCGTAATATTAGATAAAATTATTTATTCATTTTGTTTAACTATGTTGACTGTCTGTTGGTTAGGAGTTTGACACAGAATGAGTTCATCCTTCCATTGGGACCAGACCTCCGATCGATGTATCAGGAGCCAGCCTCTGCTCACAGTCTATCGACCATGCAATACTCTTCCATCAGACCCGAAATGACCATGAGTCCTATCGCGTAAGTTTTTCTTCCTACTTTTACGTTTGGCAAAGCTACCAACTATTACGGTAAAATTTTATTTTGTTATGTTCAAGGGGTTCGCAAAATGTATGCTCTTTTATTTTAATTTGCAAATTTAATTAGACTATTTTGATCTCTAATACACGCAAAATAAATATTTGCATGATTATCATTCGATTAAGGGGATTCAAATTCGAGCAAAACAAAAAAAAAGTGATTTCGCTATCTTCCCTCTTATTTATGAGTTTCACTCGTTGAATGCCATGGGGGGGGGTCACCGGTGACGAGCACTGAGTTTGTTAGTAGCGCCACGGGATTCATCGGTGACAGGCGAAGCCAAGATTATTAGAAACACAAAATTCGTGTAAATTCTTAATAATTTTAATTATTTTATATTATCGTTATCCTTAAATGGTTTGAAGAATTTAATGCAGTGCAGAACACACAAAAATCCTTTTGGCGAGACGGGCAAGTCATGTAAAATAAGCGTGGCATTCAATGTGTTAATAACTATTTTGAACACAGTTAAAAAGAAATTGATAGAACAAATCCGCAGTTACACGGAGAAGAAAATCACGAAAACCACACACGGTTACCTTGACGGTAAGGGGACACTATCGCGTAATCCATCTGCCGCTGAGGGTATTTTTACGTCAGCACTGTGGTCAGTGCTAGCCGGGAGCGGGCATTTTCGTATCGATCCATCATTGCTGGAATTCGAACCCAGTTCACCTTATAGGAAGGCGAACTCTCTATTCCCTGAGCCACGACAGCTCGCAAAAGAACATTTGTTACAAAAGTAAAGTCCGATAACTTATTGCACCTTGTGTTCAATTGGGCCTCACGACCCCTGTAAACAAAGCATTGTCAGGGTGTAATATTTCTCGGAAGTTGAATGTTTTTGGGGGGGCTGTAGAGCCGGACAGTGAACTGAAAAGTGTGGTCTTTTTACGAGCTTATTCAGAAAAACAATGAAGAAACAGACTTTGTTGAGGAGTAACTTTAAACATCCATTCACTAGTATTTAAGACATGCCAACTTAATGGATGAAGGTTTGCATTGTCATTGTTATCGGCTCGTTTAACAGAAACCTCTGTTAATCAAAATTCTACTGTAATAATAATTAAAAATAAATAATTATAATTGGTTGTAGACTCTTTCTCTAATTGGTATAACTGGTATAATTAAACGTAATTTTTGTTGCAGGGAAAAGATAACTTCGCTGAAGGATTTAAGCACTCCGTATTTCCCGATGGAAAATCTGAAGCAGTTTATTATGGAAGCATTGGATGACGCCGTCTGCAAGGGAAATAGACCCAACAGGGATCCCATTGGTGGAAGCAACGAAAATCTCTTTGTGTAAAACCATCTACTATATTCATTATTAATACAAAATCACCAATACTTTTTTGAGCTTTCCCAAGTCAATATATTTGATGGTTCAATCAAAATATTTTGATGGTTTATATTGGTTTCAGAGCGGTTCATGAGGATCCAACATTTGATGGTCCCCGTCATCCAGCATTTGATATCATGCGTTCATGGTTTTTGATATGCCAACTAACTTCCATCATTCTCAGAGCCTAACTAAGGCAGAGCCCACACATAAGAGGGGATCTCCAAATCGAATAGAAAGTTTACTTTACGTTTCTTTCTTCATTGAAATTTCTTTTAAGCAAAATATCAGTGCAGTGTAAAATCCGTCAGTTTTATGTTAGCTTCTTCATTAATCTATAGTATGAATGCAAAAAATCTATAATTCGGAAATCCAATTCAGCTAAATTACGATGCATACATTTGACCCATTAAAAGCCTGTATTTTTACATATCGAAAAATACGATATGTTTATAAAAATATGGGCTCAATTGAGCTACCGTCATAGCGAAAATTTAGATGAATATCTCCCTGATGTCAGCAAGAGTATAAATTTTTGGTAGCTAGTTGACAAAGTTAACAATCAGAAAACTGCATTTCGGAAACTGCCTTCACACGAGGGACACAAAATTGTTAGAAAAACAATGAAATGGATAAAACGGTGAGGAGGAACTTTATAGCAATTTCAGGTTCTTGTCAATTTTTTTGTTATGTGTATAATGAGGTGAAAAAATTTAATACCTCCATGAAGTTTGGTTCCTCATGACTGAAATAGTGAAGCAGAGGGGCCCCAAAAGAAGTTTTTGCCCCGGACCCCAATGAGGCTTAGTCGGACCTTATTCATTCCATGATGGAAAATGTTTCTTTAATTCTATGATGGTTAAAAATCAAGAGAAGTTTGATTCTCATAGAACCACAATCCAACTATACATTTCCTTGATGGTTTAATGTAAGTTCTTGCTCCTTCTCAGGAATATACCATCAAAACAAATTTTTCTTATGTGGGCAAATCAAAAATCACCTCTGAACTCTAAGTTTTACTTTAAGTTAAAAATCAGTTCACTTACATGTAAACCATTCATCTTCGAATTGAGCAGCCATCCAATTATTACTTTTAATTGTCTCAGAATCAGCTTCAATAGGTTCCTGCACAGTTGAATGTGAATTCATTATATAAATGAAGAGTGTGTACTGTGGTGCAGGAAATGTATGAATAGCTTGTCATAAGGGGCCGTTCAAAAAGTACGTACATCCTGAAGGAGGGGGGAGGGGATTTGCTATTTTGTACGGTTTTGTATGATGGGGAAGGGGGGAGGTATTATACAAAGTACGTACATAAAGTTGGGTGTTATTGTTTAAATAATTTAAATTAGTAAATTATATTAAATAAATATTTAATTTTATTTAAAACATAATTATTTTAATTTTTATGAAAAAGGGGGGTAGACTAATAAAATATACGTACTCTAAGGGTACCCCTAATCAGTTTTGATCTTAAAAAATAGACCAGAGCTAATGCTATGATCAGAAATAAATAACAAAATATATCAATGTCATAAATTGTTTATAATTTTATCAATGGAATCGACAGAATGGTTATCAATTCGCAGTAAAAATTCTTCATAATTGTAATTATTACGATCACATTTAATATTCTGATTGGTAACTATATTGGAAAAAAAATTATATTGTTTAAGTTGGAATTAAAATTGATGCTCTTTTCAAGTGAAAAGTTCTTTCTTTTGTAAAAATGTTTGAAACAAATTTGATTATCACTAGCCTCCGTGTAATGGTGCCAGAGTGGACGAAAACCTTAAAAAAAAAAAAAATTTTTTTTAAGGAAAAACTTTTATCCAACTATTGAAGTAACTTTTTTTTTAGTCCAGATACAAACCAGGATGCAGTAAAACTTCCCAATTTCCGTTAAAAAAAACCTTACGAGTGAAAAATTATATTTAACGAGGTTTTTGTCAAATTTGAAAAAGATGTCCTCTCTCACGCATATAAGATAAATTCCTTATGATGTGTTGAACATTTGCTTATTTCTGTAACAGGCCAATTATTAAACTTGCTGACAAACTTCTGTTGATTGGTCTTCTTCAAGATGAAGAACTCATGGCTTTACTTCGACTGATTGACCCCGAGAACTTTGACGAAGAATTCAATCCAGGTGTGTTTATTTTTACTTTATATATATGACCTTTCCGGCACTTGACTACACCCTGTTTGGTATTATTATACAGTCCCTGGCAAACTTATGAGACGCGCTATAACATTCTATGTAAAATCTTAATTATCAGGTGATACTCTACAGCAGGGGTGTCAAACTCGCGGCCCGCTGGCTGCATGCGGCCCGAGATGAACATTTTTGTGGCCCAGTCAATATATCCGACGCAAAGTAAAAATAAAATAGAAATGTGAATTAGAAAGGAAACTAGCATATGAAATTATAATATACTTTATTTATAAACTATACGGATCATTTTAAATTGTACGCGCGAAAATGTAAAACTGTAATTGACTTGCGGCACCTGCCATTCCAGGGATACTGCATCTTATCAGAAATACGCAGAAAAAATTTCAAATCTTAGAACAGAATTTGAAACAAGGTTTAAAGATTTTAATTCCTCGGAAAACAAATTTTGTTTGTTTTCGTCGATTTTCTCAATAATTATAGACTCAGTACCCAGTTATATGCAAATGGAAGTGATTGAGATTCAGTGCGACTCAAATTTGAAGGCAAAATTCATTGAAGTGGTTATGCCTGAATTTTACAAATATTTACCGGCAAGGTTTGAAAATACTCGAAAATTCGCATATGAAATTATTTCCATGTTTGGAAGTACTTATCAGTGCAAGCAATTATTTTCTGTTATGAATGGAAATAAATCTCCTGTCCGAAACCGTATTAATAACGCTCACGTTGGGTCAATTTTGAAAGTAGTCTCGGCCAATAAAATTTCTCCCGAAATAGGAAAGATAGTAGCAGAGAAGAGATGTCAAGTATCAAACAATAATTTAACTTTATATATGTTTATTACAATGTGCTATTCAAAATAAAAATATTTGTTTCTATAAACATTGATTTTTTTTTTTGCGGCCCACCTAAAGTTAAGCATTGTTTATTTGGCCCAAGTTGGCTTTTGAGTTTGACACCCCTGCTCTACAGCATTATTGTTTTTGCACTTGTTCGTGTATCAATGGACTAACATTGTAATACGTTAAAAATAAATGCAAATAGGAAGTTTATAAAAAAATCGCCTGAATAAAAGCATTTACGTTCGAATATTAAAGCATTGACTATAAACTCTTGCAAAACATGTCACTATTAAAACACTACAGTGCGTCTTATAATTTAGTCTAATTATTACAATATAATACCTGGTATAATAAATATTCTATATTTGTCTAATATATCGTTTTAATTTATTCAATCGTCGAATTTATATTATATATTATTAAGGCCCGGATTTTGATGACATTTGCATTTTTTTGCATTTTTTGCATTCTTGGACGTTTTTTGTCCTTTAGAGCATTTTTGAGATTTATAGGGCATTTTCTTTAAAATTTTGGGGCGTATTTTGCATTTTAAAGCATTTTTTTAAATTTTTTGTTAAATTTTTTCAATTTTTATTATTTTTTATAATTTTTTATTATTACACTGGCTTTCAAACAATGAAGAAAATCTCTAGGATATTAAAAGGTGAAGCAACATCTTTTCAAATTGAAGAAGAATTGTCATTAAGTGTGACCGACCTTTTCAAGTACGCACCAATAACATCAGTAGACGTTGAAAGAAGCTTCTTCTGGTATAAAAAGTTACTTTCAGACAAAAGACGCTCGTTTACATTTCAAATTATCAAAAAACATTTAATAATCCAATGTAATTCTGATATTTAGTAATATTATGAGATGGAAGTTGTTATATCCATTAAAGTTTCTATACAAAATGAAAATGTTTTGGAGTCAATATATTTTCCTTTTTTTTGTTATTTTAGGATATAAAACATATTTGTCAAACTTTAATGAACGTAGAGCAAGTATTGCATTGCTTTATATTTTTTGAAACAACTCATAATAATTTTAAAAAATAAAACATTGTTTTAGTTCAATATTTTTACTTTTATTTAAGTCAAGTCATAAGGCATTTTTAGCGCAATTTTCGCGTTTTAAGGGCATTTTCTGTACTTTTAAGGGCATTTTTTGCACTTTTTAAGGGCATTAATTGAGATTTTTTAGGTCATCAAAATCCGGGCTCTATATATTATGTATCATCTCATTTAACCCATTGATAGACGAACGTGAACAAGTGAAAACCGGTTTCACTCTCGTATAAACAATAAAGCTGTACACTACAGTATCCCCTTATAATGAAGATTTTACGTAAAATCTTAGAGTGCGGTCTATTAATTTTGCCAGAGACTGTAACTTTTAACAGTTTGAATTTGAAAACAATAGACGAGGTTAATTTCAACCAGCGTTATTATTATTATTAACATTATTAGAAAAAAAAACGAACATACGGGAAAATGAGGTATATCACATTTTTTTCTTTACATAATCAGTTTTTATGAGAAATATTGATTATTTTGTTTCTTGTTTCGCACAGAGAATGAGAATCAAGTTCGTGGATTGCTTGCAATGAATATCGCTGAAGGTGTTAAACTCCAGATGTGTTATTTGTTACATCACCTTTTTGACCTTCAACTACGCCATCGCATCGAGTCTCTTATAGCTTACAGTGAGGATTACGTCGGAGAACTTCAAACGGTATGTATTTTGCCCCTCCTCAATTTTACTTGCCTTCCTTTTTTTTCATGACATTTTAAAAACTGTGTAGAAACGTACGGCAGCAAGTTTTTATGTCATTTCATTTCGTTATGAGACTCTCAATTGTGGTCGGGTATCAAAAAGCTAAAAAAACACTTTGAGGGTTAACATGATAAAGAGTGTATTTATTTTCCGGTTGAAATTACTATTAGATTCTATGTAAAATCTTTACTATTCGCGATCGCAACGAACTATAGGGGGCGTTGTTGTATGAGACGCATACCTGCGATTTCTATATGAACCGTCATTCAGTTACTCTAGAGACGTCTTTAATGTAGTGTGTAGCATTGCAACGTTCCTTCTTTAATGTGGCTTATTAAATTTAAAAAAGAAAAATGCTTGATCTTCTTTCTTGTACAACCGAAAACAAAATGGTATCTCTTTTTATTAGAGAAGGAACATCCAAAACACATCGGAAAAATATTTGTACATTAACAGAAAAAAATATGTATATTCTTATAAGAGTTAAAACCTAATGCCCGAGAAATAGTATTACTAAATTTAATGATATAACATGAAAGGCCCATTTAAACTTTACATTCTATAGTTTTAAGAATC